CGCTTTTTATCTACTAAATGAACCCATCAATCTTCCCTCGCTGTTGTTTACATCCAATAGTAGTCGTATTTTTGGGTTAAATGCTGTTTTTGACTGCGATTGCTCACGCTTCTTTAGTAATGCAGTAGTCGGATTTGGTTCTTTTTCCATGCTGTGCGTTTGCTCATTTTTCTCGTATTTGCTTTGAGATGTAAACAAATCTCTGAAGAAACCCATTCCGAGTTGCGCAACCCTAAAAGAGTTCTAAAACCTTATTTATGTATTTATGTCGCTTTTCCGAGTCATTTTGACCCGAACTACCTAAATCTCAAATTTGCATGGCTTTGTCTATCTTATGGTATTTGATTTGTTATGCTTGTTTTACTCTTCCAACACTTGGAGGCAAATTTTCAGTAAGAGCATTCGCGATATTGGCTCTAAAGCTCAAATAAAAAAGCACGATACTCAGCTCTTGATCCTCCTTTCTGCTTAACCTTTTAACTTCCGCGCATGGAAGGCCAAAATTCTGGTGGTTGTTATCAACTTTCCATACTGCCACTCAAGAATTCAGGAATAGTCAAACGTTTAGAAACGAAAACTGAATAAGATTTGTTAACTGATAGCTGCGTCATTGGTAGCTATTTTGCGAGTTGCTAAAAATGGAAACTTGTTTTTCTATCCAGTCTCGTTATTCAGTTGAGGTTTTCTTACTCTGCAACGAAATCCAGTACTACTAAATTATTACTTATTTATGATGTTTGCATCACAGTTGACTTTTCTATTCAGAGTTCCGATCTCATCATCTTTTGTTCATCGCTTTGTGACAATCGAGTTTTTGATCACTTGTTTTCGTATTACCTACAACCAATGATGGAATGGAAGAATGTAAGAAAATAAGTTGTTGTTTTTGTTGTTTACCAAACTATTGCAACAAACGACCGACCATCAAAACGGTACTTGGTAATTATAAAAACATATATGTTTCAGATTTGGGAGCTCCTTATTCACTTGGAATATTCGAAAATTTTATCAGCGTTTGTCTCATGGATTTCTGTTCTAGCGGTGTTGGTCATGGGAATTAACTTGAATTTTCACACTGAATCTTTTTATATAAGAATGAACGTCTTCATTGTTGCACTTGATTAGGGCTGACTTGACAGCTTACGTCATAAACTGATTCACATTTCTCACTCCAAAATCATTGGTAACAATTTTCAGCAAACTTGTTTCTGATAACGGATTTTCCCAACTATAAAAATTTCCCATTGGGATAACTAGAAATCGTCATTTCCCATGGTAACCAAAGTTTGCCTACCAATTATGTAAAAACTACTGCGGTTATTTATTAGGACATTCCTGTTGGAAATCGGCTTGCAAATATGCTTTTCTCTAATCATACTACAAAAATGAAGTTAACATTATCAGAGAAAATGCAGCATATCTTTTTATCCGTACAATTTGATAATAATAGACACAGTGATAGCACGTTATTTCCTCCAAGATATCTCATTTTATAATTTGCAGGAGGAAGCAGACCGCAAATGAGCACTTTCGAGTAAATTCAATCCAAATTTTTATTTCTTTTATAGCAGCTACATTGTACCTGTTGCAAGCACATATTTGCAGTTTTCCACAACTTCCAATTTTTTTATGCAAAAGCACTTTAGATATATTGAGTCAGCGAATCAAACCCTTGATGGGAATGTGCCCAGAGTGCAGGGCCGTTATCTGCAAAGCATGGACAGGTGCAAAAAGAAGGAAACCTCCAGCAGCAGGAAGAAAATTACATCCTTCTCCAAAACGATTTTAGCCAAAAATAGACGGAGCGGCATATTCCGTCAACCAGAACTGCCACTTTTCTTCTTCTTCATAAGATTGTTGTGCACAGTTTGAAGTTTATAACACGCTCGTAGTATGTAGGGGGAGCACAAGATCTTTCGAACAAATTTTTCGACATATCTTTCTTAATAATTTTTTGACATTCAAGTCTTATAGAAGCGATCCAGCCTCATCCTTAGCCAGAATGACATATTGTTGTAATGTTTCAAAGAGATTTTAAAAAATAAGATTTTGGGGAATTATTCTTCTGAGTATACCATGAGATGACAATTTCATACTCGAATTCAATCAGATTATTACACATGATTAAGAGAAACCCATCGAAAGAATTGTTTTGACCTTATCGGGAACATTGAATCCATATAAAATCAGAAAATTTTTTCCCATTAGGCAAATTTCCCGGAAGTTTGTAGGAACTTTCTATGTATACGAAATTTCGCAAAAAAATCCATGTCAATTATATAAGTTTGCTGTTGTGCTAGACATAGTAGATCAACATATTTTGACCCTCTTCCAATTCAATTGAGCTAAGTTCTACTAAAACGACAGTTCAGTGATGATAAAAACTAGGGAAAATTAGGACTACCACTTTTTTCTAATTTTCCCGTAGCTGTCGATGATTTGCATTCGCATATATACATGCCATTGAAAGAGAACGATGTTTCGCTGCCAATGCATCTAATTCCATTTATATAGATTTTTGTTATTTATAGCATCCGCGAATGTGAATTGCCAGTGCCTATTTAATGATCTCTGCCCCTAGCCTCCAGAGAAACAATAAATTACCTCCAGGAATCACGTGAAAAAACTCAATTTTGTCCTCGTAGCAGGCAACAATCTGCAGTGAAAAAATCTAGCTCAAATGTGAGACGTGGACTTATGAGAATAGTTTATTCTGCCGGGGTTGTTTGCCTTCAAAGATGAGAGTACGTGGGGACATGATGCCTTTCCAAATCTGCTTTCCTATCTGTGACGTAGCGAGGGATTATGAGGAGTTTCCTTGAAGCAAAAGTTGAAATCGAATCCAAAATTGATCTGAAATTATAACAAAAAAGCAGCGATGTGTGAGAGTATATTTACGCTAAGAGTATTCACTGCAAAGAGCACTCTGACTACTATCATTGCATGTAAGCGCCAGGAAAAACTGTACGAATAATTTTATCTTATCTGCACAAACAAATTTTTGCTCAAATACTCTCAAATCTCCTTGTTTATGGGGTTGAAGAAGGCGAATCTGGAATCAGCGTTTTGCCTCACAAGATATGGTATGTAATTCATCTTGGAAGACTGCTCTGACTGATCAACTTTTCCTTGTCATTGAGACCCTCGATTGTGAGAATATAAGAACATAATTAGACAAGTTTAGGCAAAAAATATAAGTTGTTGTAAACTCTCCTTTATAATCAAAGCAAATGATTTTATTCAGCTTATTTTCACCGTTCAAGCCTCCTGCACATCTAGATTCCGCGTCGCAGCCTTACCACAATTGATATGACTTCAAATCGCTTGCGTTGGTGGCACGTCTGTGATCGCCTCCCAGTCCGCAACGCGCTTCGTGTGAAAACGAGTTGCGGACTTCCCCTGATTATAAGGATATTGAATTTGAATTGATAAGCTTTCCACGCTATAGCATTTTTCTTCGTATTCTCTCGCTAGCAAAAACCGCAACGCTCTGAGCAAGACTCCATCTCCACGAAACTGAGTGCCGATGATATCATATTGCGATCCTTGTGATCCTTTTACAAAACGAGTAAAGACTATTATACATAAAATCGCTGCCGCATTGTGAAGATAAGAAAATACTTAATCCTTGGCGAGAAACGTTTAGGTAGCAAAGGAGGAAATTTCATCTACTTTGTCAGAAAAAAGCAAAAAACGCAAAAATGCCATTTTTTGCATTTTTCTGCATTTTCCATGAAAGTCATGACTTTTCACGAAGAGCTCGATCAGCACAAACTTGGCGCGATTAGAAAGATCAGCTCACAAAACCTCTAGTAAACTCGATTACAGATTTTTTTGCAGCGTTTCAGATTTTTAACGATTTGTCGAAAATTGGAAGTCTGAGTGGTTCTCACTCTCGGATTTTTATCTCTGAAGTCCCTTGTCCTCAAAGAACTACGAGGACAATTTAAAGAAAAGATAATTTTTTTTCTGATTGTATTTTTTGTAAGCAAGCGCACAAACAGGGGCAATTTCGGATTTTTCAAAATCAAAGCGGCAGAACTTTCGTTTCAACTGTCGGGACGCAGCTCAGCTCAGCTCAAGCAGCTGCTCTCCCGGGGGCTGGCCACGGAAGCCAGTCAGGATTAGTGACCCTTTGGTTTTGGCAGAGGGGTATAATCGAGCATGCTGATCCCCCACGGGGGTGATCAGCATGCTCGATTACCCCCCCCCCTGTGCCAACTCCCAGCCCCGTAGCTCAAATTTTGCAGAAAATCGATAAAATCGATATCGATCGATGACGAAAAGTAGCCTATAACACGCGCCGGGGCCCGAAGTGTATGTGTGCCAAGTTTGGTCCGGATCGGTTAAGAAATGGAATTTTCTATTCGGAACATACGTACACACAGACAGACAGACATACAGACAGACAGACAGACAGACAGACATACAAACAGACATTCAGCTTTATATATAAGATAATTAGACAATGAACTTGTTCGCAATCGCTAGCTTAAAATAAAAAACTGCAGTATTAGACCCAGAAAGATAAATCTGCTGGCCCACTGCAGATAACCTCTGCTGGGAACTGTCGACCAATCGTAATGCTTTGACCTCTCAGGAAATTTAGCAAAACCCAGTGCTTCTGTCCGCGCGCGGTGACCTCCTTTTGGCGATAAAGCAACGCAGCGGCCCTCGTATGTTGTAAGCATGTGACCTGCGACAAATTATTGATATCTGCGCGCTATGACCTTACAGCCGCGATTAGCACAATGCTTGCGTCTGCTCTGTGTCGTGATAAACCTTAGAACAGGATTATTAATTGCGTAACCTAATCCTTTACGATTGAGACGCGCGACTAACAACAACAGTGTGCATAATCTGACCCGATAGAGTCTGTCTTACGCAACTTATATTATCGTAATTTTACTCTCTGCTGTCGACAACAAAACATGATAAGTTCAAAACTTTATGAACACATAGAAACATACATACATAGTATCATTAGTTTAGCAAGGTAATTAAGTTCGCATAACTACCCTCCGACCTTCTTGCATTATCGTTGTGATCCTTTCCGTTTCATCAAAGTTGATGAAGTGAATACTTCGAGTCCTATCTAGACTCCTTTCCAGCATGGCCGAGAACCGAGCCAGCAACGGAATTCTTCCGCAAGTGTTGGTCATCGTTAGATGACCAAATCCAATGGAAAGGCCCCCATGATCGCCCATCCATACATTGTCTTCGCAGTCTCGAATGAAACTGAAGGGCCTGCCATCTGATGTCCTCATAACACCTGAAAGAATCGTAACTACCTTACACATCCTAATGATTACTAGACCAAACTAACCGCTTATATGCGTGTCATCGGACAACAGCAAAGTGAGCGTAGCTCGCCCATCTCTTTGTACATCAATGTACGAGCTAGTAACGCTTCTCCTATAGAGGCTTGCCATCATGACCTCTTCTTCCATATCATGAAGAACCACATTATGTGGATGCTCATTATAGCCTCGTTTAATTGGAAGATTGCATCTGGCTTTATAAAGATCCAGCACCAATCTTTCCACTTCCTAAAGATAAGTTTATACATACATTTGAGGAATTTTTCAAACATAATACTCACATCAGTTTTCTTTGCAATTGACGCTTCCTGTCCGTCAGACAAGGTGAAGGTCGTGTTTGGTTATCCACTCCGCCTAAACTTACTCCTCTACTCAATCAATCTGAAGATAATGGTACCGTAATCGAAGTTCTCTATGGTCTCGCCGTAACACGTGTACTCTTTACACATGTAACTCGGAAGACATTCAATAACCATCAAACAAGCTCGAGGACGAGCTTTCTAAAGGAATGGAGATGTCGGGACGCAGCCCAGCTCAGCTCAAACAGCTGCTCTCCCGGGGGCTGGCCACGGAAGCCAGTCAGGATTAGTGACCCCTTACGACCGTGCACCGTAAGGCTGCTTCTGCAGTCTCTCCCCCTCATTCCCCTATTGTAATATTATATGTAAATAATAAATTTATATAATACGTACCTGTACCGCTACACATCAGGTAAGGGAATCGCGAACCCTTAATCCTGGCACAACAACTAGGCCAGTGGGTGGCGTAATTATGGCAAGGAACTACAGTGTGTTTGAATCGGTAAAGCACGTGGACTTCTGTGTTTGCCAAACGGGGCGCCTATCCAAACTATCTGGAATTACATATTTGATTGGCTGATGAGATATAAGAAGTGGTTTCGAAAATTTGCATCACTCTGAGGACCCGGCAGCGAATCACATAGGAAAACAACAAGTAACCAAACCAATCAGTATGACACAGTGGCGGCCCGAGGAGGTGGGCAAGGGGGGGGGGGCTTTACGAGAATGGGTCTCGAAATTTTTGAAAGTTACTTATATGGGTTACAAAAATGTGCAAGTGACCTGTTTATACTCTTATATTCGGGGGCAGAGCTCGGCACAGCTGGCACCGGATCAAGCTGGATATCGTTTTTAGGGCGGAAAGCAAAAGGGATATCATTTTCGGGGTCCGGGAGGAGAAGAGCCGCAAGAATGCCACCGGTATGCTGTCCATCAAACAAACAAAGGCGTTGTTTTCAGCCAAAACGCAATAGTATGACACCAAATTTGGTGTGTGCATGCGCGCTGGGAGACTCGAACTATGGCCCAAAAATTATGAAAACCTATGTGAATGAAAGCGGTGCTGAATACTGCCAACCGACACTTTGCTCACATAAGTTTTCATTTTTTTTTGCATAAAATATATCTATACCGTAGAGGTTTACATACAGAGAAGGAACAATTTCATAATGTTTTCTTTTCAGCGTTTTATAGCCATTTGAAAATTACTACATCTGCTCCGCAGTCGAAAAATCGGCTTTTCCTCTCTTCTCCAGATGTGATTCAACCACATAAAAAGCTCAGAAAACAATGAGAAGTTGTTTCATGAAATCAGCATGCATGAAAACAGTACTACATACTTTTACGTAATCTAAAATCAATGAAGGGTCTTCAAAACAAGTCAAAGGGGAGGTACGAAATTTTCAAGATAACGGGACTTCGTTATGAAGTTTCCCTAGTGCCAGCTCGTGCCGAGCCCTGTACAAGGGGCGCTGCCGCCACGCCCCTCTTTCTAATATTTTGGAGTCATGGGCCCTCAAAATTTTGGGAAGCATCGTAGAACATTTTTCGGAGTGCGTGGCTAACACCATGCACCTTCACTCACAAGGGAACGATCCCAACTTAAGGTGGCGAATTGGAATGAACCGCATATCATTAGATGCGTCTTGATAAGCTGATTCCAAATCTATCTCCCATATCTGCGACAACGTTATCTGGAAGAAGTTATGAAAGGTTAAAAATGTGAAGTAACGGGGGTTTTAGTGCATAATTCGCTTCAAAATCCAACTTGGGAGTGTAGGACTAGCACTGAGTGCACTGATTTCAAGGAATGCTCACACTCTAAAGAAACACAAATAAGTGTTTTTAAACAACTAATTTTCGAGATATCGCGCTGTATATTTGCCAAATTTGGACTTTTCATTGCTCACAGCTTTTACCAAAGAACTTTAGTTACTTTTTAGTTGTTCAAAAGCACTTATTTATGTTTCTTTAGAATATGAACATTCCTTGAAATCAGTACACTCAATATCATGCTAGTCGTGCACTTCCAAGTTGGATTCTAAAGCACATTATGCACCAAAACCCCCGTTACTTCACATTTTTAACCTTTCATAACTTCTTCCAGATAACGTTGTCGCAGATTTGGAAGGTAGATTTGAAATCAGCTCATCAAGACGCATCTAATGGTACGCGGTTTATTTCAATTCGCCACCTTAAGTTGGGATCGTTCCCTTGTCAGAAAAAATTTTGTCGCTTTCCCCTTCCCCCTGTCTGAAATCCTGGGATCGCCACTAATATGGCGCTTTCTTTTTCTCTCCACTTGCTAGTTTCCGAACTGATTCTTCTAGAAAATGCTCGCGGAGATCTTAGTTCATCGTTTTCAAGAGAAACTAGATACTTGATAACTCAAATTCGTAATCGGTTTTAACGTAATTTGTTTAGTTTCACCGAATAGCTTTGAAACTTCATAAAATTACCTTTTGTGTCCCAACCTTCCTCAGTGTGCTTGTAAACAAACAAACTTCATAATTGTGCTCAAAGATTTCTGAATTTAGGTACAACACGATAAAAGCGATGCTTCAAAACTTGGTTATTGTAAAAAAAAACCAAAAGAATTCGGCGTAAAGAACGGCTGCAAGAAGAAAGAAGAGAAGATGAGCCGATACCACAGTATTTGTCCATGACTATTTGTGTTGTTTACTGATGAGAACGCCACATCTTTCAAAAATGATAAAAGGGGGAAATACCTTACTGTACGTATACACTTTTGACCTTAGTGCGAAGGAAAATTACTGTAACACTGTGGTAGAGAAGCAAGGCACTAAACAACACATTTGCTTAGAAAATAACGTTTCATGTCATAAATCGAACACATTATGCCAGGATGGAATAAACACTCTTAGCGAATTTTAATTTGCATGAAAAAGTGTGTGCGCTGGCGTTTGATGCATTCGCCTCCCCATCCGCGCCAGCTGTTTGCCACCGTAAGTTTTTTTTATTTTTTATCGAGAAAAAAGCTCTAAATAAATTATCACAACGTTTAAGCATCACAATTATCAATGATAGCAGTGTTCGTCATACCGCTTTTTCAAGCCAGTATATAGCCACTGCTTGGATTCGATAGGTTGAATGCAAAATGGAACGAACTTTCCTCATGCGACAGCCGCAGTGTGAATATAATAAAATATGTGAAATATATAGTACTATTCGATAGAGTAGAGCAAACAGACAACCACCGCAGTTTTTCCTTTTTTTCAGAAATTTTGATCTACACCATAATGGCAGGCAAAATAATATTCAGTTACAAAAAATTGTTTTCATCATAAAAAATAGTGCAAGATGCCCACTTGTTGGGCATGTATAATAGTAGACACAAAAAACACATAAATGCGGCTCTTGGATTTTTTTCGATACTGGAAGTCAAGGATCGAAATAGGCCGAGAATACGAATACGTCATCCTTTATGGAATTTCTTGTTAGATGTTCTTTTTCGATGACCGGGGAACAAAATCTTTCTGGTTTTATTTCTAAAGGTCTATAAAAGACAGATTATATATAAATTTATGTCTGAAACTAGCAAGTCATTGTGTCTGCCAATTTACAGCAATTATATTTTCTTGATTCACAGTTGTGAAAAAAGTTCAGCAGTTGCATATATTGAATGTCTGCGTGCTTATATTACATGCTAATCAAGTTGAGGGTTTGAGGGTTTTTTTTGGGAAATCCATTTTTTGGCGTGCTCAATGTTTTCAGAGTTTGGCAGACTATGCGGATCAAAATTCATGCGAATATTAGGTGGTAATTGTAGAGCACATTTGCTCTATCGAGAATATATGCGATTATCGGAGACTGTTATCGAAAATTCTGCATCTTTGCCGTTAATAGGCTAATTTTTAAGGGTCGCATTTACAATAATTCTTCCTCAAAACTAGAAAATTCTGCGTTATCGATATTGATATATGAGAATTGATGATCTTTTATTTTCCTTCTCCTACTGATTTGCGGGAAGTCAAATGGAAAAGAGTAAAAAAAGAAGAAAGATGATCAGAAGAACAAAGTAAATACGACACATCTGCAAGGTCTAACGACGTTGATCCCCAAAGTATCTTATGACCTCACTGAACATCTAAAGTCCATCTTTGAATGCTATTAGTCTGATTAGATGACTTTCGATAGGGTAATTGCATTAATAAGCGACATTATGGGTCAAGAGTCACTAATTCTTTGTCATCAAGTATAAGGTCTCCAAATAATTTATTCCATCTCCTAAGATATGTTATTATGCAGTCACATAGAGTTTTTTTTGAGAACTTAATTTGCCAAAACAAATACGTTGACAACTCACTCACCTCATAAAATACTCTTCGAGATGTATATTGAATGTAGCATTTTTATAAATATAAAGATGTTCAATAGTAATGCGCGTTTTTCTAGCCTTTGTTTTGAGACAACTTCTTGCCATTGAACTTTCTACTCGATACCAGAAATAACTACATTTACTTTTCTAGCCAGAATTTATACGCAATTAAATCATTCTTTTGAAAATTCAGCTACTGCACGTAATAGAAAAAAACGTACTTTTACACCAACCTAACACGATCATTTCGAAGGAAGTTCAGAAATTCAATCGAAAAATTCGGAAATCATAATTATTTGTGGAGGTATTTGATTTATAGAGCCGAGCCAAAAACATTTATTCTCAAACTTTTTAAAAACTATTAGCAAAATAGTTTTCGAGAAACTGCATCCTTAAAACTTGTCTGGAACAGTTTGTGACGTTGCCATATGCCACCCTTCTTTGTAATATGTGATACAGAAGACTTTGTTGAAGTTAGAGTGACGAAAGTTCAAAAAAATTGTCGCATTATGCCTCACTCTGGCAGTTTACACAAATATTCGTTTTCTGTTCGGCTCCAAAAGATTTTTGGACATTTACATTTTGTTGTGCACTTCCCATGCCATGTGATGGCTCTTTATACTTATTTATAACTGTGCATTAAGTGCACCCACATGCAAGTTATGTATTCAGTTATATTCAATAAGGAATAATACAGTCTATGAGGATGATATAGTGCTACGAAATTTCATTTTGTTTAACTGAATTGAGAATTTTTATTGCCAGTATTGCCAAGGCATTTAGAGAAATTTTGGTTCGTATGCGTGTCTTGTCGCTTCATGATGAGAAGCTGGATAGTCAAACCATGGCCAGGTTCTTATTGAAGAGGTCTGTAACTTGTTCTTGAAACTTGTCTTGGACTCCAAATGATCAAGAATTTGCTTGACTTAGTTGGCTTGATTGGAAAACAAAGGCCCTCTCCAGTGAAGCACCAAGTTATCATTCATTTAAGAGCAGAATAATCTTAAGAACTTCAGAAAAAGTGGATATTTCGACTATTTACAACAATATTGGTGGCACTTCAGAGACCATACAAGAATTTAATTATCGCATTATATGTTTGCGTCCTAAAAACAAACCCAGAATTTACTGGCTCCATCATGATGCGCTCATTTTCCAGTATTTTTTTTCTTGAGGTGACGACGTATCAGTTTCGTACTTCACATTCTTTCCATTTACATCTCCCGTCTTCGTACTTAGGTCTCAAAGGGATCACGTATGGGTATCTCAGTGTTTTCTTGTTAACACTGTGTATGCAATTTTTCTCATTTCTTGTTCTTCTCATGGTCATGGCGTCATGCTGACGCCAACGCATAGTGAAATTTGCTAGTATTACCTTTCCCTTTGTCTTCATCTCTTGTTATATCGCTAGACGTCACAGTGCTGCCCGCAATTGAAGCAGACCAACTATCACTCTTCGCTGGGTTAGCATTAAACTTCATAGAAGCAAGGGGTCAAAGCGGTAATGTAAACGACTTTAAAGACTAAATTCAAAATACCTTCCAACAAGCATAGTTGGTACCTGAGATGGTTTCGCCGCGACTCGGGTTTGAGTAATATTTCATCAAACTTTCTGTGATCTGTCCTAAAGCCAAGTGCCTTGAGAGGTTGATCCATAGCACTTTCGTCCATATGATCCATATCGAAACATGAAGGCAACAACCGCCTTTGGTCTACACTTTTTATGTCTGGCAGATTATATTTTTATCAATGTGAACCTGCAAGCGTATGGACTTTCCGTATGTAGAGAGGAAGCAGCTTCTCTGGAAACTTTTGTAATTAGCAGCAGTACGCAAACGCGCTAGTACTAGAGTAGTACTAGACGCGCTATCACTGACGTTTTTTATTTCAAAAAAATGTACCTTAGGCTCAGAAATCTGTCAGCTTACATTTAACGCCTCGCAAAGGTTACGGTAGGTATCTGTGGGGCCCACTATGCAGAATTGCTATTGAAATGAGCGAATTCGCACATCAAAAAAAAAATCCGATCCCCCTCCTTCGCTCGCAAGGTTTCAGTTTCTAAGACTCTGATTACTTGTCGTATGCTTCCTAGCCTCACCGAAAAAATCCTGCCAGTTAGCAGTATCGCACTGTAACCGTTCGAGTACACCTAGTGCCAGTTTAGTGAAGCTCGAAATTTTTCTCAGGTCATCCAAACTGAATAGAACCTTTCTGATATCACGTTGTCATAGCAATACTATGTCCAGTAGCAGGGAAATGAAACGAAGTTGCGAGGATTATATCATTAGTCTGAGACCAGAAACCGCTGATGCTAAAAAAACTGCTAAAATCGCTTTGCGGCTTCGAGTCTCTTAGTCTTGATGATTTATGCAATTCGGGGGATGTCCTATGCTTTGTTTACCAGCGTTTCAGCCTCGAAGCGATACTATCAGTTCTGCAAATCGTTATTGCTTGCAGCATAGCTATTGAAAGCTTCAGTTTTTTGATAATAAATTTGGCAAGCAACCTTTTTGTGTGGGTATGAAATCGTGCGAATGACCATTACACTCTGATTCACCAACCAGTTTTACACACAATTTGCGGATTACTGCGAATTTTTCTTCCAAGTTTCTGTGGAGGAAAACAGCGCTTTGGCATACTTTCACCTATTTCTTACAATTTCGTCAAAGGAGATTCTAGGTACAGCTTCAGGCGTGCACCAAATAAATGCTTTTAGTGATACAAACAGTTCGCACTAGATGCTAAAGTTTTGGAAAACAGCTGAGCTCAATATGCGGCAAAAAGGACAAAAGCTCTACAGCTCAATACTTGCTATCAAATCTCGCGCGTCTTGGTGCAATTGCACTCTCAACAATTTCTTATGTATGGTGCATCCGTCAGAATTGCTCACATATTATGTACCGTCAACGTGGCTCTTTTTCGATCATTTTAACATGTCAACTTCGAATAAGCGCCTCAAATTTGTTGGAGGTAACGTGTTAAAAAAATCGCAGGCAACCCTTGATGGTTCATATGGAAACACTTCTGGGGGAGGCAGGATACGTAGAAAAAAAAGTTTGAGATGTGGAGTCGGACTCAGACTGTGCTATGCTTATATCTTTCCTCATGTAAAATCCCATCAAAATTACGTCTACTTGGTGCAACCCCTACAGTAGTCAGAGTGATGTCTTGTTTACTTTTATAACGGTTTTTTTTTTCGTAGAAAGAACTGTCTCTCGTTCAGGATATTCACAATCACTCAAATATCTGACCAGCTCTGTTGCACTTTTCCTTTTCACTCCCAAAATTTTAGAAGCTTCCAAAAATCACCATATCTAAAGCATGTTGACGATTTATAGGACACACCATATGATCACGCCGATCCGTGCGCAAAACATCCATTTTATGACTAAAAGTTCATTTTGTGATCATTCCCATCAGAGCACTGATCTGAACGTGTGTATTGGCTGGAGCCAACAAATTGGCAATAGAACATGTCTGTCCCAACTGGGATCAGGCGGAAATGTTGGCGTAAATTTGCGCGCGCTGCGTACGCGCATTGTTGGAGAGAGCGAAGAGACTGGAGAGAGAGCAGACAAGCAAGCCGCAGACGTAACGCAGTCGTGGCGAGCGATGCGGGCCCACATCAGTCCAATTTCGGCCGAGTCCGATTTGAGACAGACTGTAGTATCTTCTGAGATGTTTGACCGGAGGGAAAAGATTTCTGTCAAGTGAAAAGCGCGCATTTGAGCGCATCGCCACCTCGGCTATAAAGTCTCGATCAATTTTCGGCTTCAATTTGAAGTTCCCTTTCACTTTATATACCAAAGAATTTTCCAAAAATTTTGGATTTCGCAGTTCCATCTAGACTACGAGCCATTGCGTGATGCCGTAAAATAGGTAGTACTCAGTTAATCGTAAAAAACAAAAAAAAGTTTGAAAGACTGGGAAAAAATCCATAAAAAATCTGAGTGCTTGTGAAAACAGACTGTCGTAAATACATATATCGGGTTAATTGCTGCATCGGTTATGTGATTAGATCATTTCATTTCTTTTTCTGAATCATGTGCAAAAATTCAGGGAACCTTTTTTTCATAGAATCGCGAGGAAGTGCAGCAGAAATCGAACCACCCCAATCTAATATCATTATGTGCTTCTCTGACATTTTTTAAGTTCAAAAAACAAGCGACGATGCACTAAAGACACAGAAGATAGCGAGCAACTCATCAAAGTTCAACCGCAGCTCAATGAGGTGTGCAATTGCACACGCTCTCGCTGGTATATACGCGAGCATCCCGGATCTCGTTGGTCGTTCCAACGTGTTTTCTGAAAAAAAAAAAACCTCTCTAAATGTTTGTTTGGTTTCTAGAAAGAGAGAAGAAAAACACCAAAAAACTACTTGCCCGCAAAAAATGCTCCTTGGTCAGTGAGAAGATAAATTTACGCGCGATGTGGATGGTGTGTGTAGTTGCACAAATTAATTGCGAAATAAATCGACTGTATTCCATCATCATCATTTGCAAGTTAATGTCAACGTACTGCACAATGCGCGCTACTTGGTGACTTATAAGGAATCTGCTCATTCCTAGTGATTTCTCCATGTTTCCTTGTCCGTTTTGATATAACTGCTGATGTGTCAACGAGTGAGCATATTTCTATAGTTTGCGCTACGGGAGGTTTAACTGAGGAGTTGCTATAGTAAGGATATCGTCTTGCCGCAGAGACTCTTACACCAAAAGTATGAATGGTTCGAAGACACTTCCACCAATTTTGGATGCATAGTTTAGCTCTTGGACTTAGCACGCAGCACAACTTCTTCGTTTCTTGATTTTCCAGCAAATAAGTCGTAGTCTCACTTGGACTTTTGGTGTATATCGCGTGCAAACCTCAGTAAAGCGCAATTTTACTTCGTCCTCGAGGACACACAGGCACGGACAGGTACTGCAGCAGAACCAGCTGTTGTGCCTCGCCTCAGCAAGTTGCAGCCTCGTTCGCCCGACCGTCCGTCCGCATCCCCCGCTCCCCCCGTGATCGGAGGCCGTGCGTCGGGGGCCGCTAGCTCCTCGGCGTCACTGGTTTCGTTGTCGAGCGCCCTCCTTAGCGGGCGTCTTCTCTCAACTCGGACCCGCTGTCTGCGCTCTGACCACAATCGAGCCGGACGGGCGATGGCTATGCTGCGAAGGGGCCCGACCGCTTTTCTCTTCCTGGATGGTTACTGGGGCCATTTTGATCCAAATAAACTTAATATGGGGAATTGCTTACGTTTTGTCCGCATATTATCAAATTTAAATGGTAAAAGATCCGGGATTCTGCCGGGGAATCGCCATCAAAAACTGCTCATGCGATTACTGGGAAGCGTGGGGTTCTTCATGCACGAAGTGTAATGCTTCTTCATACCTCTTGCTTTCCTTCTCCGTTCCTGCATGCTCTTTGCTAGCTATTATTGGATTAAATGTCTACTACGATCAAAGTTAATTACGGTCATACAGCTTGATATATTCTTCTGTATATTATCTCGTCCGCATATTCTATACTAAAACTGCGTTTCTCATCGATTTTCTCGTTTTCTTGTCGCTGAATCAGTCAGCGACGGTGTCTCAGTTGCCGCTCTGTTATTTTCTGTTGTACCTTGCTTTGGATACGGCAATCTCCTCTACTTTTGCGATATAATCTCAATCATGTGTTTGTGTGTGTGCCGAAATGTGAGATTCAGACTAGGAAATTATTTGGGCATATGATTGACTGCACAACTGTAATGACTTTTGCCTTAATGTGCACTCAGATTCGGGGAACTCTTTGCTCAGTTGGTGTCTGAGAGACGACGCAAGAAAAGTTATGGTAATACAGGCATCTCTTACGTTCATATACCCAGTATTTTCGTCCATAGTCGGCAAATTAATACTGTTTTTAACATATTTGTATTTATTTATTTCGTTTTCTCACAAAGTTTTTTCATAATTGTGGCATGGCTTTTTACTTATGGTAGAGTTTATCTTCCGCTAACCGCATGGATTTTGAAATAGCACGAATAAAATGAGAACTTTTTTGTTTACAAGTAGAACAGCTTGTTTACACTGCTCACTCTTAGCTTTTCTTTATCCTCTCTGTTGTTTGTGTGTAACCTTGAGAGATGTTTGTCGTCGTCGTCGTCGAAAGAGACCGACTTTTTCACATTCTCTTTTTTAGATGTTCGCATCGATCGGGGATTGGGATTTTTTCGAGTTCAGTAACAAAACATTCATTTGTTAAGAGACATTGGTGATCGTCTGTTTTTTCACAAAAGCTTTTTGCCTCAAATGTTTCGCGGTATGATATATCTTTATCATAGCAACGTCACAAATCGTTTTCATTTCCTTTGAAGTAAACCACTCTTTTTGTGCCAATGTTAATCACAAACATTCTAATTTAGTGAATTCTTACTGTAAGTCATTTTTCTGCCATTACAGTCCCTTCTTGAAAGAATTGGCCGGTTTTACTTTTGTCAAGAACAGCTATCCAATATCACAAACGAATTTTTTTTCCATCTGCTGCCTACTCGATTTCTCCCCATTGCGCAACATTGCGGAGCGCTCTGTTCGTATGCAAAATCTCTCGTCCACTCATTTCGATGTTCTGAATATAATAACGTCTCACTATAACGTTCCAGTGCGTCTCATTCTATCACATCAGGCATCTATCGATTGAACGAACGGTTATCGGATTGAACTGTACGAAGGGCTGTTGCTCGCTCCTTCCCATTTATTGAAAACTCACTCCGTAATTACTTCTGTAATTCCCTACGCGTCAACTATTTATCCTACTGGAGGAAGGGTTGGCTGAATTGAATGTGAGTTTTTCCCGTTGCAATTATTATTCGCACTAGAATCAGGACCCCATTTAAGAAGTGTGTTAGAGCTCAATTTGGATGCGGTTTTCGATATTAAATGTGACATCCGTATGGCCATCGTGGTATAAAAACTTACGCGGAAGTTGACCAGTAGTGGATGTTTGTTGTTCGATGTTTCGAAGATTCCTATAAAGCGGGGCGGCCCCTTGTGTTTTGATACAAATTTATAATCAAGGATATCATTTTTAGCCCTCTTTATTCTGGAAATTCTCTGCATATATGTACTTACTCCATGCTGATAGCTTTCGTCTGCTACGTGTTTTTGAGGTTTTTGAATATAAGAAGCACTTTTCTCTTTGACCATGCTTTATTGAAGTGGGAAGGTAGGCGAAATTCTACACTCAAACTGCTTTTATAGTGGAAATTGTCAAATCTTGAAGCGCTTCATCCAGAATGATCGTTTGTCTACGAAATGTTACTACTGCATGAGAAAAATGTACCACATTACCTGTGATTTATTCTAACAAAATTAATCTCACATTTGCTCTTGACTTTTTGAACCAGTTAATCAGATCCTTCTGCACATGTGTCTGAAATTGTCATTGTGATGGTACATTAATTGAATTTGGAGAGTCTCATGTAGGCTTCAGGCATGCATATGTGACATTTTGTGCAAATCGTTTCAATTGTTCATGCTGGTCCTTTTATGATATGCACTCCTGTTCGAACCCGCATGTTGCATATTTTTATACACATCCGGAGTAAAGAATATGAATGGCAGATATTTGCACGGACCCGCATGGTCGAGTGTTTTTACGTTCGTTTGAGACCAGCAATGGCGAATACTAAGCGTTTGCTTTGACTTCCTGTATGGTAATAGATGTTGCATTCATAATCAGCTAGTTAGGTAGCGAAAGATTCTGAATGTGACTGTGGACGGATATTTCGCCTATCGCTTTTGCCTTAAAAGTGTAACAGTTGCAGCGTTGTTCTTCTTGTATAGGTTTGATTTCGCACAACTTCCAATAACCTGTCTGTTTCCTGGAAAAATGAAACTGAATGTGTGAAAATCTCACATCGTGGTGTCCATGTCACCAATATGATTAGTTGTGCGGTGAATTACGTAGTATACCCAATGTACCTTTTTTGTCATAACCGGTCATTACCATTTCGGTCCAAGCGCCGTTGAGAAAAGTAACATATTATGCGCTTCACCTCACTCCTTAACGTCAGTCTTGACATGACGGCCATTACAGACAACATTGAACGCGCACGTCACAGCAAGAAAGTGCGGTTGTGCACTAAGGATGCACCTTTTTCTCAGATGTTTGAGAATTATTTGCCTAGCATATTGTCGGGTGTATACGGTTGTACCTTGCTACTGCAAGCCAAAGATTTACGAGTTGGTGCACTTTTGCACATAATTCTATTAGATTTTCTCGATCAGGTTCTTGAATCATAACCTTTCAAAGCGAAGAATGTCGTTGAACAGGCTACGTCATACAGTTTTTGAAAGCGATAATTACCAGAGTTTTCAGGACTCTTCCAGTCAAAAGTTTCGCCCTGTAACTTTTCTTTTACTCCAAAGATTTCATTTGCACAGATTTGCTATACCATTTTCATTTCTTTTGACTGGGCATCTGTTTCCGAGTTTTAGCGAAAAGTATTCTCGTATAGTTTTTTGCGTTGGATGCGCTTTAACCAAAACATTTGAATTTTTTTCAATTTTCTCATGTCTAATTGTATTAACTAGAGCTCATTTAAGATTAATAACTATTTTATACGTTGCTGTTTACAGATATTCCTGTTTAAAAACTTCGTAATGTTGTGCGTTTTCGACATTTTTTTTCTAAGAAAAGTCAACTAGTGGATCGAATTTAAGAAAAAGTTTGTTTACTCGTAGTGTGTATATGAGCGATCAATAGCGTCTTAAACTAAGTTGATAAGGCTTGTCAAGGCCATCTAGAAAATATGTGTTTAGAGATAGCATTCGATATCTGCTACTATTTCAGAATGTCTTCAACGGCCACGCAGCGCTCGTTGCTGCTAGCGCTGAGCGGTGTGTCGCTAGCAGCACTATTTTTATGGTACCTACAATCGAAGAAAGGACGAAAAAGTCCATCTATAAAAGACATCGAAAAGAAGAAAGTCGCAGATGAGGTGGACAGCAGGCAGAAGGTTTGTTGATTTGATATTTGAAAAGTTCCCTGCATTTGTTCTTTTCGAAGCATTTATGAATTCTGTCAAGAGTTCATGTTTTGATCGATATTTAGTTCGTGCATTTGACGCTTTGAATGGTTGTTATGAATGTGATTGTGTGAGCACCTGGATATCAAGTAAACCAACCAGTCCGTCGGAGACTAAGACTATCATTAGTTTTAGTTTCGATGTCCTTTTAAAGTTCTGTAACAAAGCCATCTATATTACAAATAGTATTACTTACTAGGAATCGCTTCATACTTCAACTTTCACATTTAGTACGTCTTACAGTGTAAGAAAGCGCCACGATTTCTTTTCCACTTCTCTATCCTGCTAGACAGTCTATGTACATCAAGTGCAATCCATTTATCAGCAATGTTTTGTAGTCTTTACATATATTTTACTGCCTTATTTATCGCGAGCAATTGCTTCGTAAAACAGCTTTGTCCAAGCGCATTTTCTTTGAAATATAGTGGGAAATGCAAGGGATCCGCCACTGCAGCTGTAGGCAAACTGCTGCTGGCTGTTTCGTTATATTAGCAATTTCACCTTATCATGGCAGGCATTTGCAATAGTCTAAAAATGAATAAAAATTTGAGAATGAGTGGTTTTGTTGTTTGAGTATTCTATTATCCCTAGCGTTTCTGGATTCAAACGTACTTGTATTGTTGCATTTTTTGATAGAGTTGAAAATGCATAAAGCAATCGCACACATTTTTGCGGCATAGATGTACATTTGACAAGCATTTTTACGCTTTGGAAATTGAGTTTCAAATCATTTTTCTGATTACACTCAAGCACCTTATCTTTTTCCATTCCTTTTCACCGGATTGCTTGATTCAATGGGAGCGGAAGAAGGTTAGGCGCACTTATGAATCCGCTTGGCCATAAAACATTATTTGTAAAGAGAAGATTGACTTTAGCCGGATATTATGCTCCACAAATCCTTAGATCGATTCATTCTCAAGGTATAACTTGCCGGAATCCACTCGAATTCTTAAAGCCCAAATTTAGGTGCGCTTATTTGATAGACTCGTATGCATGCATTTACATCCTGCTAGGGAAGCAAAAACAGGCACATTTTCCTATTTTTTTTCAACTTTGTCACAATTTCTTTTTTCTTCGTTGTATAGGACATAATCTTGTGTTAACGAGCCGAGTATGCGATACATCGGCGCGGGATTTCGGTTGTGTGTTGGTTTTGCCATCGCGGGGAGGTTGGTGCTGAGCAATCGATTCCTAGCATCGCGCGCAGCAACTCTTTTTTTGCCTCATAGTGTCACATTAGCGTGCAACTTGTTAGTATCAAGTTTCTTCAACATTCGTTGTAATAGAGATCTCATGAGTTCAACTGAGCTGACTGACAGACTGCTTGGCTTCTACCTCGATCACTAGATTCAAACAAAACGCTTTTTGCTAGTCAGCAAGGTCTTATCAGTGCTTTTTAATGAACGAAACGTCTGTATAAGCTTAACGAGACGCAGCGAGCTAGCTAGCTGTCCACATATCAACGGCTTGTTTGTTTATTAGCCGAGGACGAATTGGCTCGCAATCAAAATGTTTGCAGGCTCGCTGCAACTTTTTCGTATGCTGTGGAGGTGCCTTGTCTAGTCATTAGTGTCTTGACTAGCTATTGCATGCAGAGATGCTGACCATTTGGCTCGGTATGGTTGTTCTCGGCTATTATCGTATTGACGACTAGTCGTCACGAACAATCTGACAAAGTGGGGTTACACTGCTAATTTAGCTAGGAGATTACACTGAAGTGTGAGAGCCGTGAGAATGGATATTTGGCCGAAATGTACTTAGTTTCAAAAACAAATACTGCAAAGAACACATGAAACCATGTGTCGTTTCAGTGAGAGCGGATTTATGCGTCTCGCGCATTTTGCATCCGCCTTGCTGCCATTCGGAAGGGATAAAGCATTTTGATCTTTCAGATTGACAGTTTCATGGAAGTCATTAATGTCCATGCTGCACAGCTTTTCTATAGAAATGGGCAGGGTGAATTTTATGTTTTTTCTCCTGTACATGGTTTTGTAGCAAGGTTCAAAAGTCCATAACTTTTTCTAATTGTGAGAGATATTGTCGGAGCTATGATAACAAGCTCTTATTTTCAAAGAAAAAATATGTTCACCTATGTTTGTTTTCGAAAGTGAAAGCGAGAAATGATTCTCTTGCTAGTAAGAACGAGTGTAGAGCTTGCCGAAGTTCGGTTAGCTTACCACTAAATACTATCGTTCACATGGTATGTTTTGGCCTTGCGTAACTATTTTAGAGAGGTTGGCATTTATCCGTATCTCAGAGTGCAGAATTTGGAGCTGTACTTACATCCTGGATTTTGTTTACATAACCATCCAGATCGCAGTACAAATGAAGTAGAGAGTAACGAACTCTATATAGACGCTACATTATTGTTTGTAGTCGAAGCTGGACGCAAATGGAGGTCAATAAAATGTTGGTAGGTATGATGAGTACTTTTCTGCCCGTCGCTAATTAGTGTCTCTTGGGATTCTGCTTCGATCAAAACATGTCTGATGGTTTCGTTTGCTCTTTGCTCGGCGCGAATATTCATGATGTGGATCAAATAGTGAAATTGTGAAGTACGCGAAATTAACTTTGATTGTCCGACTTATCGATAGCTAAGCAAAGTTAAAGATTGGTGCATTCAGTTTTCTTTGCTCGTGTTTATTTTGCGAAATAGATTTAAAGGAGAGGTGTACTTCTCTGCTATTCTTATAAGTGTCTAGATTTGGCTGTTGTGTTTCTTCAACGACATTTCTCAGCATCGACCACTAGTCATAATCTCTACACGTTGTGCTCTGACTATCAATGCATTTTTTTTCGAATGTATTGCGTTGGCTCACCAAATTGTGCGCTGCGAAAATGTCATGCAGTTTCGTTTTCTGTCATCATCGCTGCACATTCCGTTTCTACCATGGCTGCAATTTCGCATTTTAAAATGCTGTTTATGATGAGCTTGACTAGTTTCAGGAGCGCGCACTAACTACGACAGTTCGTGAGTCATTGCCGGAGAAGAAAGAAGAGAAAGTTATAGAAGAACCAGGTGAGTAGGTTCTTTTCTAGCGTGACAGGCTTTTGCTATAGTTAGCCATGAAATACCGTCGATAACGTCTCTGCATTAAGCTGAGTCACAACCAGCGCCTCCAGCGGTGATTCCTACCATAGAATCTCTTGCTGGACAGCCAGAAATGACCACTGCTCCTGAGACTGGTCAGGTGTCACAAGTGGACTCTTCACCAGTTCCCATGGTCAACGGAATTGCGAAAGAAGCAGATGAGGTATGCACAGTTATGGTGTCGCATTACTCTTTTTGCCTACGCTAGCATTGTTTTTCATGACGAAAGAACTTTATTGGTAGTGATTTCTTATCTGTTGTTTCTTGAATGTCGGGCAGTGAGTGTTTATGCGATTTGCAAATGTTACTAATTTTGTTTCACTCAATTTAGTATTCTTCTGTATGTTTACATATGTATGAGCATCTTTATATCTCCTTATGATAGTACAAATGAACTCGAACTTTATTATTTTCTAATGCTGTGGTCTTTTAGTATCAACTGAAAGTTGGTGAAGGAATTGTTCGGTTCCAATTCTTATGGTCGCGCAAAACTGACTGATAAAAAAAACGCCAGACATTCGAACTATGTAAACTGCTCGATCAAGAAAATTTAATTAAAGCTTTGATCTTTCTTAAGAGACATCACAAGTTTATAGCCTACTTTTTTCATCAGGAACACCACTGGATACTTTTCAGGAAAATGTGACTCAGTTGAAAGCTGGCATTACCTATGCAGAGGCGGCGAAGGAGGACCACACCTCTGTCGAAGAAAGTGAAAATCAAACGAAGAAAAACCCAACACAATCGGAAGAGGTTAGCCTTATCAATGAGCCTTACAACAGGGAGTCATAATTGTGTAATTGAGTTCCTTTTTCTCTGTTTCGCTTACGTATTTTTTATTGCTCCTCGTGGCTCGTTCTCTACCGCCAGAACTTCAACTGTCAATTTTTAGTCTGCTGAGGAGACCGCGGATCTTCATCAGCAACTTGTTCTTGATGTGTCGCACCAGGCCGAACCAGAAGCATTTTCATGGTCGGACGAAATGGAGAGGTTGATTTTCTTCTGCATTGCACTTTTCCGCTTCAGTGACTATCTATATGGAAACGAGCATCTCATCATTCGCTAGCTTTTAAACTCTTGTTTTCTATGACCTTGTTTGTAGAAGTTATGAAGAAAGTCGTAAAAAGGAGGAAGAAGAACGGCAACAAAATGAAGGCAGTGGAGGAAATGGATCCGGCGACTACACTACAAGTGATTCACCAGGACTTGCAAGTCAAAATTCAGAGGTATGTAATGTAGCACTAGCAGTTTTGAAACGTTATACGCATGCATTTTCGAAGCTGCTATTGGGATCATATTAGTGAGTGCTTATCTTGGTGCTCAAATCTAGATCTAGTTTTTTAAGTCTTTAAGCTAGGAGAATCATTTTTGTTTTCTTGGTTTGTGTTCTCATTTTGTCTTCATCGCTCCCTATTCTCCATTGTGTTCTCCTCATATAGCCTAATATCATTCCTCAATGATGATCGTAAATAATGGCGCGATGACGAAGTTATGGGTATTGTCTGATGCGGTTTGTTCGTTGCAAATGTTTGTCGCTATGTTAGTGAGACTCACATGAGGATTTTACGATGCCTCGCCTCGTTCGCTCTGTCGAATGTCTAACATTCACAAACCACGGTTGAAATGCGCGATTTCGCGGTTGCATGTGGTAATTTCAGAAGAGGCAATTATGCCATGTTGGCGAGGGTGAAATATGTAAATGTGTTTTTATTGAGTGTTGAACGAAAAGGAGAAAGCAATGTCTTGAGTCTAGGTGACAAATTTAGTGTGAAGGAAATGTCTAATATAACATTAAAATAGTCATTCCCTCTTCACTTCAGCCTTTTTGGAACTTCTCATCCTTCTACCAGGTAAATAGAAGGTCATGATTATTTGCCATGGGCTATCCAGATGTATTGACTCAGGAAGGAACACGAATCGATTTCGTATTATTCTTTTCTATAACGTTTGTTTGCTGTCTGAACGATCTAAAATCATTGCTGCTTTGGTAGCGTGAGTATGGATACTGTTTAAGAAATTTTGTCTTTTCTTTGGACTTTTAACTCTTTTTTATTGAAGTTTATCATGAAATTGCGTGGGAGCCCATAGCGTGCAAAGTGCAGTCAGTTTTTGCCAATTTTTTCGGTCCTGGTCGATAGTTTTTCTTGTCACATGTGTGTCGTTCACGACGTCTTAATATTCGATTGCCGTTTCTGCCGTGCCCCATCTTGACGCTGTTAAACAACAAACAGTGAGATTTGTTCATACCATGCATATCAGCGGCGAAGCGCCCCGTTTTCTGTGATTTTAAGCGAGAGAGAAACAGTCATAATATTGGCGATTCTAATCGCAGGTCGCGACGATGTTGCACTGCGCCGCGCTTGTCGCCAGATGATCGAGTGCGTGTGCGGGGATGCGTCGTCGCGCAAGGCCTTTCTCTTCGTAGACGGTATGCAGACCTGTTTTTATGCGATGGTTTAATGCTGCCGCGCGCATCGGTAGTTTTGAACGAGGGGTTTACCGTATAGACCATGTTGTGCTGAATGAATGGGGCACAGAGCACGTGCATCCAGCATGAAGTGACCCATTTTGAGTCATGTGGTGCTATCGCGGTGGTGTAAACTTGCGACTCTTCGACCATCTGATAACTTGAGAGCGAATGATCTGCGAAGTGACGTGGTGTCAGCTGGACTTGTTGTTTTTCAGTTTTGCAAGCTTGTTTGTGAGGTGGCGACAGCAGAGATTGAGCAGGTGAAGCAAACTTTTGCGGGGGTATCATTTACAGGTAGCTCGGTATCGGCATGGATCGCAACCTCGTTCTTGGAATCAAATGTAAGTTGCCGCTGTCCCCCCCCCCCACGCATAGATATCCTTCCAGTATGTTAATCTTTCCCTGCTAAGAATAGAGGTATTTTGGAAGGAAGTGGAGCGATTTGGGAGAATGTAGGGACCATAAAAGCTTGGTTTCTTTTTGTTTAGGTTGATATACCAACATGAGCTCTAAGTTTGACTTCAAAAGATTATCTCATCCTTTAGAACAAAGCTTGAAGTTGCATTGTGCGTTACGTCCTGGTATTTTCTAACTTAATTAACCTAGAATAGAAATCCTAAGTTTTTTTTCGGAAAACAAGATGAAAATATCTAGAATGCGATAATGAGGGCGCCATATTCATGTATTAGATCCTGTTATATTTTATTGGGCATTCTTCCGTTCTAGCTGGCTGTGATATCAAAAGCATAATTCTCGTTTCCTCGAAATACCAACCGCTTTTGAACGGAATGCAATTCTTTGTTAAGCTCAATGTGAATAGCTCGTAAAGAAAAAAGGTTATTGATAAGAGTGGGAGTAACTCGTGCCCGGTGAACATCTCAACACAAAATTTTTTCTAAGAGGTGGAGGGACCCTGTTTTACCACCATACTGTATCATTTGGGGAATACATATGATTTTGTGTAGGGCCGTGGTCGAAACTGTCATAGAGCTGACATTCGTAGCAATGTTTATCTGCCTAATTGTTCGGTCCCATCGGCGAAAGCACATGAGCGCTGACGTGGAGTATACCAGAGATCATGAACATGTAATTACTAGCGGCTGCTTATTTGAAGGCAGACTAGAGGTTCATCAGTTTTTGGGGGAAGAATCTATCTATCTATCTAATCTAATATATAAAGAATCGTTAGCTCGATTCAAAAATCTTTTAATAGCGGGAAACCGTGGCGGGTCCCGAAGCGAACGCTCTTCCATAGATTACTGGTTCACTAGTACCCATTGTAATAGTATGACCATTGATATTTCAGTTTCACCCCTCTGTATGTCCCCCCAGTACCTCTAGATTTATCCAAATTTGGTGCCAGTCACGAAAATTCTTGAATGCGCACCTGGCACAGGGCATGCAAATATTGTGCAGTTGCTGTGAACAAGCCACCTGATTCAATAATGTCAGACATTTGCTGTAAGCATACATGCTTCAGCTTCAATATTAGTAGGAGAATCGGCATATCCAAACGATTTGTGAACTCTCATCTAATCGTAAGAGGAATAGGAAGTACTCGAAAAAGAAGGAGAACTTGCTAGTTGTATGTTTGCATAGTGGATTGCGGCGTGGTATTAATAACATGGTAATGGTACAAGAACATCATTTGTTGGAGGCATATGGGAATGAGATTTTCATGTTTATAAACACCCACGTAAGCGAAAAAGTAAAGATTGTTGGGTAAAGAGAGAATATTACTGGTGCTAAGAATGCGTTCAGTAGTCGCTGGGTCTAAGTCTAATCATATGCTTATGATCTAGTTGAAAGGGGCCGTTTGCAAGATTCAAGCATTTGCACAACCTTTAACTGCTTTCTCTTTGAGTTTTCAGAATTTTACAACTCTCGATTTTTGCCTTTAATTGGTCCAATAATGTATACGCCGCTGCAGCTTTTGCAGAAAACTTTTGCAAGAAATTTTCACTGAAAGATGCGTGTTAGTCTTAACACATACTGTTCATCCTATCTGAAAAATGGGCATTTCTTGGATATTTGTATGTTGAAATCTCATGGGCCATTCTTTATGGAAATTCGCTTCAGACGAAATTTCCCTATTGAAAAGAATAACGACCAGAACGCATAAATTGTTCGTTATCGGTGCTTAGCTTTCGAATGTCGATGAAACCACGAATTCAGGCCACCGCATTCCATTTTTCTTTTGCGCTAACTCATGTGCAAACATTCATCTGGAAATGTCTTATGAGTCTTTTTTCGTTGTTTGTTTTTTGCAGTCTTGTGATTTTTGATAGCTGCACATCGATTTGGAAATACGATACCTCCTGCAAATTACTGCTCCTGTGCATTGTCATTGGTTTTCCCTCATCGCAGCTAAAATTATATTGTTCAGAAATGATTTGTGGAAGCATATTCTGACCTCACATGATGGGAATATGCTGGTGCAGCTACGTGCTTTAGAAACATAAAACTAACTTTCAAATATTCAACAATATCATCGCTTCTTATTTGTGCGTAATTTTTTGCATTAAGTCCGATAAGTTTTTATTCCCTTATCTGATCGAAAGTATTTGGTTACAGCAGACCTACTTAGCTAGAGGTTACCCTTTTTCTAGATTGGAATTTGACCGCGATTTTTCAACGCTGGACAGTCTCTAATTAGATATTGATTCGCAGTAAATTCAACTGCATCTAAATTGCCAAAAATTCGCCGAGATGAGTCATTCACCGGAGATTGACACATTAAAGCAGACAAATTTTAATTACTCAGATAATTCCCTGTAATAAGCTAGTCACCGGAAGTTGACAGGTAAAAACTAATTGTCAACCGTGTCAAATCCTGTGAAGTGTTTCCAGATGACATTATTTTTATTTCCGGTTTCTTCTTTCTGTCCTCATTCCATTTTTGATGCTCTCTTCTGATTTTCACTTCTCTTTGCGAGGTCGTTCCTTGTTCGCGCTTGGCAAAGTTCCAAGCGGCCGATCACGCCGACTCTCTCGTGTATGCTTGTTTTCTCCACCAAATCTCATTAATGTGCTCATTGCGTTGCATGCGCAGCTGGCAGCGCTCTTTGGAAACGAGCCAAGGCGGCGCGGAGCGGAGTTATCAATGTCATGGGAAGGGCGACCACGACCGAAACGGCGATCGAGGAGGTGTTGGTGGTGCCATCGTCGCGGCGATCGATCGATGAGCGCGACCATGTCGTCGTCGCGTCCCTTATCGTTTTTTCATGCGATTTTCGGCGGCAATTGTGTGGATTTTTTGTCATAGATATGAGTAGTGGTGAGCGATGGTCGCGATGGATGGATGACCCGCGCCCACTGAGAAACAGTGTTATCAAACAAATGAGGCTCCCTTAGTGCAAAGTAGAACCGTGGGTGGCCGGTGTTGGAGGTCATTGTCAGTTCGGTGATCTCCAGCAGACCTTCACGTACTGCTTCAGACCCTCCACAACCCCACCCTGACGAGTTCGCACCCGCCAGGGTCTGCAGCCACGACGACTGCACTTTGCGCCCCTCGTCTCCTTTTTCCCAGCCTCCCTCGTCGGTTCCTCGCCTCGATCTCGCGCCACGTAGCACTACGTCCGCGCCAGCTCCCCTCATCTGCGCTCTCATTTCCACGTGCGTTTTCGTGCCGGGCGACCGCCCCCAAGTTGGCGGGCACCATTTTCCGACTTGGCTTCTTTCTCTCGTCTCGCTCGGGTGGTGTTTGTTATTGTTGTTGTTTTATTGGCGGCTGTTGCTGGTGTGCCACCACGCGATGTTCATGCACCCACCGCTGCTCCCACCCGTCACCTTGATCCCCACCCATATCCCCCCTCCACCACCTCCACCTCCGGTAACCGCTATGCCGAGACAGTTACTGTTTCCGCCATATCCGTTGCCGTTTTATATTCGGCCGCCGCAGCTACAGGCGAATATGGCTAATCAGACTGCGAGACCTATGTCTCCTCTACCGTTTACGCTACCTCTAACGATAACTTCATTGAAGTCTGCCAAGAATATGCGACGAAGAAGTAGTGGCTCGTCTGCGCAGTCGATGAGTTGTGCGGCAAGCACAAGTTCAGCATCGAATTGTGAAGCGGTGAGCAAATCCTTTTTTTTTTGAACTTTCCTTCACTTTTCTCCTAGCTTTCCTAATCTTACATCATTTCCAACCTCTTACCATACCTCTCTTATGATTGAGTTCTGGCGTTGCTGTTTACAACTTTCTTTTGATCGCATCGGTTCTGATCAATGTTTTGATATCCTTTTACATACATGCCACACACTATATTGACAGAATTTCTCGTACACTTTGATTGCCTCTCTCTTTTATCGTCATGGGGCATCAATAGGGAAGTAACAGACCACAGTGTGTCAGAATCAGCTCTCACACTAAGCCATGCAAGTGCAATGTCAAGAGCTGTTTTCTCTAAGCTCAATAAGCGATTATCAATCAGTCGTAAGTATCTTATCATAGTTTATGGTGGTAAAATAATGTTTCGTTGCTCCACACGCATCCATATTCTTTTGATTTATAACACAAAATCTTCTGTCTGCTTCTTTAACTGATCTTTTGTCTGTTCATCTGACAAAGCAGATGACGTCTTGATCTTACACCGACTTCTTCTTACTGATAACTCCAATCTTTCTTGAACATCAAAAAAATAGGCAGATTGATTTTTTGAGTTTAGTGCAAACTTGTAAATTGCGCTTACAATTGACCTAACAAATCCATACCGCGTGCGCTATTCTTTACCGGGGTCAAGCGCGGCATGAGTAAATGCGGGTCGTCATCTCCTCACGAAAAAAATAACTCAAAATCATATGGGTTTCTAAGTCCGTATCGATTTTTTGGAAGTTTCTAATAAGTTTATGATGTTCCAACATCATACACTGGCTGAAGGTAGCTGAATGTTCGCTCAATTTTTTTTTACAATGGCCAGCAGTGTGTTCGCGTACAACAATAGTTGCTATCACAATATTAACATTGCTTTGTTCATTCTGTTCTGTGCACTGTCTGTATTGGCGCGCACTAGCTTTCAGCCAAAGTTCGCGCTCGCTGAAGTGCAATTTCTCTCCCTGAAAATAAAATTGGTTTGTGGTTTCGCCTTTCTGTGGATTTATGGTACGCTTGCACTTTCCGTATGGTGCCAAAATTGTGCGAAGAACATCTTCTTGACTGTTGCGATGCTTTAGTTTAGAGATTGTGCGAGCTTTGATAATCTTTATGTGAAGCAATCCGCTTGTTGAATATCTTTTTTGAGTGGGTATAATATGTCCTGAAATGAGGTGATAGTGCTCGTCTTTTTCTGATGCAATCTCCAAGGTGATGGGGTTGCATTTATCATGCACTTATCTGGGAAATAACTCATTGTCACCAACAAATATGTCTTTTCGCTTTTCTCTCAAGACATTCTCCGTTACACTCCTACATCATTATCACCTCATTTCTAGCGTTTATAAGGGTGTTCACAACTCTCCCTCAGCTTTTTCCATATTATCTTGTGAATTTTGCTCCCAAACTCCTTATGGTATCATAGTCTTCTGTAGAACTGTCTGTAGTTCGTGGGGATATGCAGTTTGAAAAGGTGTTTTGTGGAATTGTGTTGGCATTCTCTGGCGGCGTTGTGGAGAATAATATTGATTTTGTATGGGTTCCGTCGCTTTTTTTTTGAGTAATAGCTTTATAGCTAACGTAATAATGACAACTATTGGGGGGTTTTTTCTTTTGAAGTTTGTTTCCGCTTGAACATAGAACATGCACTATTGTCAGCGAATTCAGCGACAAAACATCCTTTCTGGTACCATGGAGGCAGAATTGACTGTGATTAGGAAGTAGGAGGACAAAAAAAAACGTTTAGAATGGTTTGATCCAGGTTGAAGCGAAAAATTTAGCTAGTAATGTGCAAGTAGACAGCAGCAGTAGGGGCAATGTGGAAATCTGTAGAATTCTTTTTTTTTATCTCGCCTTCTTCTTTTTTTAAAAAATTTAAAAATAGCTCCAGTACTCGGAAGCGAATGCATTAACCCATCTTGAGACATCAGGTTTGGGTAGATTTCAATTTCCTCAAAAAAAAGATGAGAAAAGTAAAAGGAAAAAACATGACTGAGGTTTAGTTGATGTAATTATATCACAATACCTAAATAATAGTTGTTCAGGTGTCTTCACAAGATTCGGGACGTGCCACCGGTGGCTTGGCGTCGTCCCTCTCTCCTATGGATGAGGCGGGCGACGTCCTGCCAATGTACGAGTTTGAAATTCCGAACACACTAGTTGGATTAATTATTGGTATCAAAGGAAAAACGATAAAGGTACGGACATAGTCTCATGAATTTTTGTTTTTGAGTAGCTAAAAATGCGATTTTAGGAACTCAGTACCAGAACGGACGTACGAATGCTTATACGACAACATCACACACCGGAAAAAGTTGATACACATCAGATATGCCAGGTGTGTAACGAAATGATGGCTATGGTGTTTTTCAAGACCTAAAAGAGCTATGATATCTGGGGTTTTTTGCGAACAAATTACCGTAGAATTGTTCTTCATTCACCCAGCGCCCTATCTCGCTAACAGGCCATAGGAAAATTGCTGTCGTTTCCCATCAAATCCTTTCCGATTATTTTGAACGGTACCAAAATTTAAGACTATTACAAGTATTTGCGCAATCAGTTGGGCAGGAGAAATGTCACCTGACGTATAAAACTAACTGAAGAAATGAACACAAATAGGATTTCCTAGCAGATTTCGTATTTGGGCAGCTTTTGGATTGACTCTGCAGATTATTTCAAAGTTGTCAGTTTACATCTAAGGTAGAAAATTTGTTTCCCATCTCTCCCCCCTCTCCCCTTCCCCCTTCTCCCTCCCCCTCACTCCATCTCATGGAAAACCTGTGATTCAATGCTGTACAGGTAGTAGCACAAATTAAAAAAAAAACTACAAATACTAATATTTGCAACCTGCAAAAGTGCACGCAACCTGAAAAAAAACCGTAATCGGGTGGAGTTCAACTGTGCAAATATAAGAAATGTTACAAATGCTTTCGTCGCTGTCGCCAGTAAAACGGTGAAAAAAGATAGATCGCACTAATGATATGTGTGCTTCCGCATCGTACCGGGGAGTGTATCCATTGTCTAGTCAGAGCAGACAGATTCCATTGCTATTCCATCTTGCTAGAATGAGGGATCGGCTAATAAGTCATGTGTTTTTGATGATGATGCTTTTCGAGTAGAAGCGTATATTCTAGTCATGGTGCTTCCATTTTCTAGGTTCGCGGAAAACGTGAGCAAATCAACCGCTGTCTTCAAATGTTACGCCGGAGATTCCCACCGGCACGATTCCCAGAACTGAATTTACAGCCAGTATTGCCACCACCACTACCAAACAACCTGTTTGATGCTCTTGCTTCACAACCCAGCTGGGTAAGCAGTTTGTTTGTCTGCATATAGGGTAGTGAAGGATAGCTTGGAAGCTTTGATATTTTTATAATTCGGTGTAAAAATATGGCAATTCAGCTTACACTTCCCGACGCCATACCATGCGAGGTCGTCTGTTCGTCGGTAATCGATCCTGGACACTTCTTCCTTCAACAACCGACACATCCATCATTTTCATCCCTATCACATCTTGATATGTATATGATTCGACTTTACAGCCAAGGCACAGACATTCCAGATTTACCTAAACCGTGCCAAAGTAGGTTTTTTACCGTTTCTCTTTTTTTAGGATATAATGAATTTTTGAAAAAAAAATGATGCTTTCAGCTGGTCTATTGTGTGCGGCTCCAGTGCTTGGCGCTTGGTTCCGTGCAGTCACAGTCAGCTATTATGCCGAAACAGATGAGGTTATGCTAAGATTCGTCGATTATGGTGGTTACACCCGGTTACCTCGAAGCGAATTGAGACAAATAAGGTACGTGGCGCGGAAAATTGCACGCGATCTCCTTCCCTCAATTTTTTAAAAATATGTGTATTCTTTTCAGGACGGATTTAATGTCATTGCCATTCCAAGCTATTGAATGCTACCTTGCACATGTGCAACCAATTGATGGTATATTTCTCGCCTTTCGTTATGCTGATTTCGTCATCCAATGTGTACAATTTTAGGAACCTGGCAATGGGGTGAGGCAGCATTCGCACATTTCCAAAAACTTTGCATGGGCAAAGTAATGAATGCAACAGTGGTTGGATTCAACGTGAGTGATAAAGTACCAATGGTGGAATTAACAGTTCTTGATGAAGAAAACAAGGTGAGTGAAGTTGAACTTTGTTGGTTTCATCGTGTTGTGAGACGGTGATAGCATATAGACCAGTTCTCGCTCTCCATTAATGCAAGGATCGAAAAAAACAAAAACTAAATTCTTTGTTAATTTTTGTCGCAGGGAAACGAGTATGTTTGTCTATACATTAGCGGAGCTAAATCGAAATTTGAGATTAGAATCACGCATTCTTCGACAGGCTTCGGACATACTTTGCGCTACTTAGTCGATACGCGACCTGGCAGGTTGCCAGATGTCTTTAACATAGGCTGTTAATGCATAGCGTTCGATCACTTTCGTAAAATCTCTGAAAAAACCTGTCTTCCGGCTTACGATGGGTAAACGTTTGGAGTTGTGCCAGATCGTTTCGCGACTGAATTTGCTTAAAGTAGGTCCTAGGCCTCAAGGTGAGCAGACGATTTGGAGGCGAAAATTATTCTTCATATCATTTTTTACTTAAAAGTAATTTAGTTTCTATTTTTGATTCTGCTACACATGAGCAGGGAGAACTAAGAGGGTGTAGGACGTTCTTTGAAAACTTGCAAGTTTTTCCAGCCCATACGCGTTGACAAGGACTTAATGGAAAATGGTTTCGCTAAAGCATCGGACCCATCGAAACTACAAAAAGTCGCAGCATCGAAGTCTCGGACGTTGTCTACGCACTCCACGGCTCCCGTGATTGCGGCCGTCTAAGCGGCTCGAGCTCATAGCGAGTAGTTGTTAGCTCAGCGCAAAGGAGTCTTGCCCTTTTTTCGTTTTCCATACAGCTAAGCTATTCTTAATTTTTCGAACAGATGTAATGATTTGAGCAGCTCCCTGTTTTTCTTCATCTTTCCCTCGTCATATCCCTATATAAGAAACAGGCCCCCGCACGACGATCATATATCTAGCGTCTAGAGTTAGCCATCCATAGTCTATAGCTATTTTGTTGTGTTTGTGGTTGGTTGTTGCTCTCTTATTTCCTCTTCATTATCTCTCTTACATGTTATTTTCCCCTATACTATCGGTTTTCTGGTTATCCCTTTCGTCGTTGGACCATCGTTTATCGTTATCTCCTTCCAACTTCGGTCGTTCAGAACGTGTTTCAAGCATCTATCATTTTATTAATATACTAAAAACTCTACGTTTCTGTTGTTTGTAGAATAATAGTCTATAGTGTCTAGGCAGAGAAAGAGAGTTTATCGAATCACATCGCAAAAGCGCATCCCCCGGTCCTGCTATGTGTCCCACAGTTGCCTTTTCTATTTTGTTCTGTTTTCGCTCTTTTTCTATTATAGCTCGAGATCAGGTACTCGCCGATGCTCGGTCACTCTGTTTTTCCTCGTAAAGGGACAATATTCTATATATCTTGGTCACTTTCGTGTTCTAGGGTCGACCTCAATGTCGAGGTGATTTTATTCTGTTCTGTTTCTTTCCTTTTTTGTTCCTTCGTTTTTCAAACCTGATTTTCGTTCTAGGGAGCGAAAATACTATACAAAGAGAGTTGTTGATTTTGTTGAGCTGATTTCTAATCTCCACTATCACCCTTCAGTCATTTTCAAATCCCAATCGACTGTTCTATCCTAGAAGTGTCTATGGCTTTGACTTGTTTGTAGATTCCAAGCATGAGAAAATGAGTGACAATAAGGTGTAGATTGTCTGAGGGCCCGCAAGTTTTTTTGTGACGGATATACTGTATACTGTATGTACTGTAGTATGCGTCTGAGGCGATTTTTCTCTGAATCCACGATTGTTATATCTTTTTTCTCCCTTTTCTTTATCATTTGTTTCACTCATCATCAAATCCACCACGTGACCACTGAACCTCCCATTACACCCTCCAAGTAATATATCTGTATATTCTTTTCATCCCCTTCGTTCCCCCCCCCCCCCCCCCCCTTTATGGTTTATTTCTTCCCCAAATTTTTTAGTGCTTTGTACGAATCAATACATATTTCATTCTTCCAGTTGTGTTCACATTATAAACAGCATTAACACATTTTCATCTTGATACAGTCAAAAGTCTGCTGCATGTTCAGAGTTCCTAACAAAAAGATGTTACATCAAGGGGACGTGAATTCAGTGGGACATATGGTTTTGCTAAAGAGCTCAAAACCATGTCATTTTATGGTGTTGTGTTATTCCAAGAAATATGCAAGTGGAAGTGTTTTTCTGTGTGAAATTAAGTCATTGAGTAAAACTGGAAAGCGTCAGTCATAGAGATCTTTCATGTTGTCTGCGAATAGATTCAAACCTCACTAAGGGCCATATCATTACAATTTGGGCTGAAGGCAAAGTCTCAAAACTGCCGCTTTCTTTTTTTTTTACAATCACGCTTGCTGTCGTAAGGATGTCCTAGTGATTAGCAAGATTTGCACTTGCTACCGTGTTTACCGACCCACATACTTCGCATTCTTTTGTGGCTGACGTTGATTCCGTTGCACGATTATTCAAAGGTCGATTGACTTTTGGTATTTTGGGGTGCGAGCATTGTGCAGATAATAGTGGGGTCCAAGAAGCAGCGGGTCGGTTTTGAACTTGGTAAATCTTCGTTTTTTAAAATGGTCAAAATGGGGGAAAATCGTTTTCTTCAATGAGTTGTACCGTTATACATTTGCATCTCTTTCCTTCGAGTTTGCAGCTTAGTCTGCTCATTTTCGTTTCTCAGCATGAAAAAATTGGGCAAAAGAATTTCTTAATGACTTATACTATCTGTTCACGTAATTCGCGCTTTTATACCTCAAAGTTTCAAGTTTTTGTTGATTAGATTCATCGATAACGATGCATATCAAGCAGCGAAAATTTCATGCGACTCGACCTTGAATAAGACAGCAAAAGTTGAATTTTCGAGGTCATCGCTAGGGAGCAATGTCCATCGGAGATGAGTTAGAGGCGCTATCTATCACAGGTGTGGGCGTATCACATGCGGACAATTCGTCCATTTATGTAAGACGTGTTAATTTATTCGTTCGTCTGGGGTCTAGCTAACCTTCCGTCCCTCCACTTCTTTCAAAAGTCTCAAGTGGAACCGAGCTCAATGAAAAGACTACAAAGGGAAAGTCAGAAAATCGCAAAAATATGACTTAAATCCGCCGATCAGTTTGCTTAAAAAATTCTTTGTTTATTTCCTGGTCAATAATTTGAATCGTCCATGTAACTGTGAGTCGATAGAATTGCGACAAAAAGGTCTATTTTGCGATGTTCAGCGGCTGTGTGTTTCTTTTTTTATGGGGGGGGGGGGGTGAATTTAGGCATCCACGTTTTTCCAAAGTACGGATGTTATATAATATGTGTATGAAAGCAGCTGGACTCCAGCTTCTAACATTGTCTATCCCAGTGGTTTCGTGAAGCAATTCTCATTTGCATACTATAGGTAAGTCTGTTGACTCAGCAAAAGATTTGTAAGCATAATAGACAATTTTGGTTAAAGGCAGTGGACAGGCAAAATGGACCCCTGTCAGATTTTGGTAGTTTCGGGTAGTGGACCCCCCAAGTACACCGTAGCCCCAACCCCACATTCCAATTCATGCGCTAAGTCCTGAAAAAAGCGCTTCAAACTTCCACCAATAACGCCCACTCAATGGAAGTGGGCGGGGCTGGTGGAGTTTTGAAGTGCTTTTTTCAGGACTTAGCGCATGAATTGGAATGTGGGGTTGGGGCTACGGTGTACTTGGGGGGTCCACTACCCGAAACTACCAAAATCTGACAGGGGTCCATTTTGCCTGTCCGCTGCCTTTAATACTTCCACTATTTTGGTTAATACTTCCAGAGATTTCTCGTTAGCATTTTTCCCGTATTGCCGCCTAGAAAATTCGAGAAATATCTCAAGAATTTTCTCGGCCCGCCAAGAATATGAAAGGCATTATTTTGCGCTGCGTATGTACTATGTACGCGACATTATAATTGAAAATTGCGGAAATATTCCCATAGATAATATTCTTGCTATTCTATTGTCATTACAAACTCCTCCAGACAATCATGTCAAATAAGCAGAAGCTAACAGGAACCTTGAAAGTTTAGAAAAAGGAGGAAAGAGATTACGATGCATTTAATCTTTATGTCTGTCATCAAAAATTTCGGTAAAGTACAAAAGAGTGGGAGATCTGGTCGAGCAATTCGAAATTTGCATTTTCTCTTGTTTTATTTTGATTGTAGCACTTTTTATTAGTATCGCTGATGCAAACACAGTTGTTTCCACAAGTGGAGGACTGTCGATTGCAAGTGCAAATTGCTAATTCCACAAAAGCAGAACGTCTACTTACATACGTATGCAGTGATGACACTGATGTGAAAACAGCAAAGAGTAAAATTGAGGGATCCACCATTTCTATCTATCAACCCACGTAGCTACAACTCAGAAAGGCTTTAACAATTAAAGAAAATCCTTCCATTTATTTGGGAAATAGGAGCAGAATTAGATGACTTAAACTTTCGATAACGTTACATTATCACACTAGCATTTTATTAATGTTCAAGAAACGTGTTTTTTCTTTCTACCTGTCCCAATTCTGCGATTTCCAGAAGACCATTTCAAAATCGAAGTATTTCAGGCATCGAAAGCTTGTTAAAATTCAAAAAATTTTAATACACGACAAATCGAGTAATTTGCTTGCCGGTCCTATAGCGAGGTATACAAGATAGCTGTGGTAGATATGCCGGACCTATTACATGGTAGCATATAGTACGGATACTGTAAATATAAAGTTGATAATAAACATATGTCTGATAATAAACAGATTTGAAATCAGGGTCTAAAGCTCTTCAAACTGATCTATTACTGATTTGGAAAAACCACTTCAGAGCTTTAATATTAGTAGGAGAATCGGCGTACCCAAACGATTTGTGAACTCTCATCTCTCATCGACATTTTTGAGTTAGCCGGCTTGAAAGAAGTGTTTTAAGTGTGTATGAAGGACAAACACTGACATTACCTAAAAGCTTGCAGTCTTTTTTACTTTGACAGTTCCCAAGTTTCATCTTCTGTTCACTAGCAACACAACGCTTTGCTGGACCATAAGCAAATGAGCTGCTAATTTTTGCTCATTGATGTTGATTTTTTTCGAACAAACTTGTGCTTCTCTTTTTGAGTAATTGCTAATCAGAGCTTGGCACAGGTGGCTTACAAGCAAATTGAGCAGAATGAGTTCGAATTTTACAGCCAATCTCAGAAACCGCCGGATCCAAGTGAGCCACCTTATTTGTGCATGATTTATCTCCTTTAGAGCCACATCGAAACATACAGCTAAACCTACATTCACTATAGATTTCGCATTACTGAAGTAGTAACATGAACGCCGATCTGAGATTGTTGAAAAAAATCAGATGCAGCAAATCTGAACAAGTAGATAAATTTGTAGAGATTGATGTTGATATTTAAGCGCTCACTATAGGATATGACTTTCCTTCCTCGTTCTTTTTGCAAATCTTGCTTCTTCGGAATGGCGGTACGTGATATGTGGAAAAAAGATATACTATGAAATTCAGTACATGAACAAACTGAACTATTAGAACATTTATTTAGAACACATCAGCATTATGTACAAAACTGGCTGTTCGGGTGTGTTTACCCATTCAATTCTCCTAGGCAAATCATTAGAAAGAAAAGATGACTAAACAATTAAAGCTATTTCGTCAAACGTCAGAAATTGAAACAAAATGGAAAAAAGGGCAAGTGGAGGTCATAATCTCAGATCACCGGGTTTTCAATAGTAGGGGTGAGGTTGTGCACGGGTTGCGGAAAGTATGGAAGGTTAGGGAAGGCTCTCCGCATTTGTGGGAAGCCCTACCTCACAATCACTGGGTTTTTGTAAAGAATGTACAAAAAATAGTGTTTGAAGGGTCCTCTAGCCGAAGTTATGGAGTTGGTCACCGGCGATTGAACCGGAAGCCCTGAGCAAGAAGAAGGAAAAGTGGCGAATAGAAAAGGAACGAGAAAACAGCGGAGTGGCGCTGGCACCGCCGCTGACTAGGTTCGTTGGCGCTCGTGGAAGCGAGCTACCCGTGCCGCTGCCCCTATTGTCGCTTGTAGCGCAGTGAAAAACGAGCTGTTCGTCCGTTTGGATGGTAGATAACGAACACCTGGTTGTTCTCCGATACCGTATCCTCCTTCGGGCGATAACAACAACTGAAAATAGCAATGTGTTTGCAGATAAGTCCTACATCAAAGGTGAAAGAGTTGGCTATGGCAGCAACTTCACAGCATTTTATCAGGTTGTAACACAAGTCTCGCCACACTTTTTTAAAGTTTTCCTCATAAACATTTTAAAATTATTTAGGTTCTACGTAAGGAGAAAGAGATATTTACATTTTTGATTTTCCGGATTACCCCATTAGGAAAATAGTCTTCTGGCTTTCCAGTGTCAATTATGTTTCGAAATATACATGAGGTAACTTAAAGAAACCAAGTTTTACTACCATATCTAGTGTTTGTTTTTGTTTGTTTTTTTGCTCTGCTCCCTTTTCGCTATCTCTAAGTTTGTGAGTTTGCTTGCTCCAAATTATGCTTATTCTATTAATCTTGATTTACAGCGAACCTATGAGCGTTTTATAATAAAATAAAACAGAGTAATATAAAATAAAGTGAAATAAAGTAAATAAAATGATATATCCATCGGCAATCATCTTCATGTTTCATAGGCATAAAGGCCATTCTTCAATGGCACCTCAATCTCCATTTTCTTACACAGAAAGTGTCTTTTCTTTTTCATCTTTTGGGTTTGTTGGTGGATTTTGGGGATCAATACTGCCAATAAAAACGCAGTTTGGAATTTGAGCCTTGAATATCACATGTGTAACAAATAGTTCGAAAAAGTTTTGTGGGAGTTGAAAAATATGATTTTTATGTGACAACATGCATATAAGCTTTGATTCAACTGGATTGCCGGCTGGAAGGCGGGGCTCTAAGACCTTATTTACCTCGCGCCCGCGACGCAGTCTGCGTCTCTCGCGCTCGTGCTGTATAATCATTCTCTAGCCTTAGCTGGGTCATGAAAGCCGCCTTTCAGCCTCAATCCAGTTAAATCAAAGGGTAGCAAAGCTGCAGCTCTCGTTGCTAAGAAATGGAATGTTTTGAGGTTACGAAAATGTTCCTTACACTACAACAAAACTTAGGTTCTTATTTAATATTTCATCCCTTCGTATTCATTTCAAAACCAAGAGGAAGACATAACGAGTTGATAAATTACGTGAGCTGGTGCAGTTCGTAACAAATTGCAATACTTCAAACCAAACGAAACGATTTCCGAAGCAGTTACGTAGCAAACGAACTCCACGGACTACTACTGGAAGAAGACCTAAGCAAAGTTATTCACAACAACGCTCGCTGTCATGAAAATATCTGAATTTCCTGTACTCTCTATTTCTGTGCGCAAACATATAATAATTTCCGGTATTCCTGTTTTTTGGGAACATATTTCTCTACTTGAACGTCTACCCCGCTCAAGGGGTCAACAACGACAGAGTAGGTATGTACTGTGCAAACATCACGAGTAAAGGCACCTCCTCCGTTAAAGCTCGACTAACTTTGACTATCCAAACCAGAAAACTGGACCCAAAATGGTTTCAGCTGGTTGCTATAATAGTCCTTATCACTTGGCAGCTTGTTCGGGTCATTTGGCAAGCGCATTTTGGCTATTTGGGCTGCACAAAGATACATTGCACGCGGTGATAAGCAATCTTATCGTCGCTTACGACCGTAAGAGAGCGACAGTAGCTGAATTTATTGCTTTTGTATTGAATAGATAAGATCCAGAGTTGGTATGGCCCGTTTAGCAATCAGGTAAATAATTTTCCGATGAGAAAAATGCGATACTGTATGTGGTTGGCCACTGAATAAATAAACAGGTGTTTACAACTAGCGGCTAATGATGACACGAAATTTGGTGTATATAGTCATAAGGGATTTGATTAGAGGTAGAAAATTCTTGAACTATAGTAGAAAAGGTCGAGGAAACTTTTTGATTTAGCTGAATCGAAAAAATTAGTTCCATTTAACAAAATCTCCTTTCCGAAAATTCGAAGAAGAAGAAATGAGTTAGTTTCAGTCTACAAATTATTGTCAAGTCTATTACTTGGATCCAACATCTCGGACGGATTCGTCCGCCTCGAGTTAAGTCGGTCAGCCGAGCCCTGGTTCTATGCCAGAAACTGCGTTTGGTTAAGGAAAAAGATTTCGGTGGGGGACTATTCACCTTTTGAAGAAGGAAGACGACCTGATGACACCAGCAAGGGACTCTCTCAAACATTTGCTGAATTTTCGTTTTTTTTTCTTTTTTTACAGTGCACCCTTGTGTGTAAACAAATAAATAAATAAATAAATAAATCTACAATTCAAGGCTCCTGACCATTGCCTAAACTGTTTTAACATCTGAGCTTCGCTAAGATTTAGACTCTTCACCGTTTTTCATTCTTTTCCTCTTCTTTTGATTACTTCGGTTCACTTTTTCGTTTTGTGTTATTCAAACTCAAAAGCGTGAAGCTCTGCAAAGCAAAGAGATCTTTGTTTTTTGAAGCTTCAATGGCCAAAGGATGTGCTAGAAAAACAGATTTTATGTGGGAAATTGAGCTATTTTGATGATTTGTGTGAATAAACTCATCGGTCTTGTAGATAGCGAAGAACTAAATGGAAAACCGAAAGACACTGAGGGGAGACACTCAAGTGTAGACGCATTAAAAACTTTCTAACTATGCAGCTTTTTGACTTCTAAAATAATCAGGTGCTGCACTAATACATCTCATGAAGTGAAGGGCCACAGAGGAGGTGAAGTCCAGAATGTTCGAATGAGATATACTTTTTTTCTCCTCTTTTAATAGTTACAAATACATTCTTGTTTAGTTTCACGTGTAGGCCTAAAATCGAATCTATGTACTCTTTCGTTCACCCTTGATATAAAAAGGCTTAGGTAATGGAACTGAACCCATTTTCTTTGCATGAACTTTAGCCGGCTGGTCTGCTCTAATTCAAATTATTATTCACTGATTACTCGGCACATATTTGATGTAAATATCAAAAAAATTATGTAGCTTAAACACCTACCTCCGGAATCCAGTCAATCGAATATCGAGCTTATGCTTAATTTCTACATAAGATTGGCATCCATATGAACATGGAAATTCACCGTCCGAAAGACGGAAGCGTACCCGTGAGCCATCCGGAACCTGAGCAAGAAGCTTTGATTATTGTGGTAAAACTATAAGAAATCGAAGCTTACAGATATCCTCCAATAACAGACAACGTCTTTTCCTGGTGGGCTGTTCAATGTTTGCCATTGGTCAGTTGCGCGTATTTCACCGCCACATGCTAAAATTGTTGATTATTTTCAAAAGGCAGCTTCTTCAAAAAGACAAATTTCGAAAATGATCTTTTTCTCTACTTTCTTGCCAAGCTGAAAAGGTTGTGAGAGTGGTTTTATCCCATTCAACAAAAATTTGGTTTAGCACTTTGAATATTGATTTGAGAGGATGAGATTGAATCGAATAAAAGCTGCAGCGAAAATGATTTCATTTTCTCGGCGAAGGAATGGTAGCTCGAAAAGGTTGTATTCATATGTTTTACTCGATTAGATAACGAAGTTTGTCAGAATAGATCCTAACTTACCACTTGGTTGTAACTGACTACAGTCAACGCCACCAAGACCTTCAGGACACCGACAGACAGCGCAGTTGTTTGGATCCGGATAGCCTCCAGCCACACAGTTCAGGTTTGATCTTCCGATGCACGCATCTGGAAATCAAATTTACTCGATAACCGTATATCATTAACTCAATCTATTATAGGTTACAATCGCATATCAGCACATTACTGCTATCACCTAACTTCTCATTTCAAAATATATTTAAAAGGACTGGCCTTTCGAGATAATCTTATGCATACATTCAGAGTCCATCGACATTGCTCTACAAAACTTTCAAACACGCTTCGATGTAATTAATCTTTTTTGAACCTAGCGTACTTAAAGATAACCAAAAAATTGCATGCACTCTTCTCTTCTGACGTCGAAGTGCGGAGAATCTCGGTAGAACAGCTTGGATTCTTTGTAGCTGTGATATTCTAATAATACTTACTGGGGCAATATATGTCGTTGATCACTTTTGCATCCAAGAATGCCATCTTTTCCGTGCCCATGGTTGTGACATACTTCAGCTCTTTGGGAACTATCGTGAAATCCGATACCTAAAAACAAGAAAAAATTTATCCTTGTTACAAAAATCCTCTGATAAATCCTTTGAACATTCAAAATCATTGGTAACTTATTGGAACTGAATGAAAAATGAGTAATGATAAGTACTGAGTCTTGATTACACTAAACTAAGATCACACTACTTATACACCATTGCAAAAGGTGAGTTTTGAGCCAGAAACCATTATCCGTTCTAGAACCTAAGTTGCCAATGAGAGGATCGCTCTCAAACATTTTGCAAAAGTCTACTAAACTAATAGTGACAAATATGGCTCTCTTTGTGAGAGCTCAATCTTTCAGAACTTGGTATGGGATCGTTTTTCTAGTTTTTCGTAGATCTTTTGTAATCTTTTGTACCATTACACAGCAGCAAATTCTGGGTACGTGCATTTACGTACGCATTTTTCTATTCTATAGTTTTCCCACTATCTCACAAATGCTTCTTCCTTTTAGGGCTCAACTAATCTCGCGAATGATTACCTTGATTGCGTGGGCGACAGCATGGTAATGCATGAGTGAGCCGTAATCATAAGGTACGCGTCGGTTTGAGACCTATAATTAGCAAATGATAAGCGTTCAGCTCTTTCAAACAATTCTAGACAGGGAGAATCCCCCTCATCCCTCAAAATGTGCTGTACCTGACGTATTCCAAAAGCCTGTAGCATGCTTCGGAATGGCATAAACGAAGCGGTGGCTTCTTCCATCACGTTCTTCCAATTGATCGAAATGTGTCGATCTCTGCAAAAAAGTGGCTGGGGCGGTTAGTTAATGAGGCAAACATCGACAGAAAAAGCACAGTCGAAATGCAGTTTAGGTGTGAGCGCCAAACCTGTCGGGACGTTGATGGGTATGCCAAAAGCCTAGAGCATGACCGGTTTCGTGAGCTACCACGTACTCCTGCAACACAATCGCTATTATGAAAGCAAACATTGCTGACAAATGCGTAAGCTGTAAATGTTCAATGAATGGAATCTTATTTCGTGAACTTTGGGGAGAGGAGAGAGAATCAATCTCCAGATTTTTTTTGTAGTCAGGATTATTTTTCTGTTTCTTTCTAAGCTGCAATTGTTCCTCGGGTTCCCGAAAAGCAAAAGGACATCGTTCCCGATTCAAATTCCCAACTAGAGAAAAAAATTCCGCGGAGAAGAAACGTAAAACAGTATCTATAGCATTCTTTGAGTACAGCGATTTTTCAACAGATTATTGGACATATCAGATTTGGAACCGATAAACTATTAAAAAAAGTGGTTCAAGAATCATGTTTTCCTGTATGGCTTGAAGGGCAGCGTGAATTTTGAGTTGCTATCTTCATCGCATTATATCACTTGAACTAAGCCATATTGTCGATCAAGGTTGCATGGAGAAAATATTGACCTATTCCTCCAAGGGGCTTTCTTCCAAATCAAGGTTCCTTCTGACTCTACCAGCATTTTTATGGAAGCATTATGGTCGTTGAAACAGGACACGTTGAGGGTAATGATTGGAGTCGCTGCTCAGCCTATGGGCACTTTTAGCTAAGCAGCAGAAGTATAAACATCTTCATTTAGAGAACAGTCAATCTAGAAGTGATACTCGCTCAATTTCAAAAGCGAAACGATTTTATTGTCTTTTATTGTCTCTTTATTTTATTTTATTTTATTGTCTGTATCTATAGCAGATTCCTTTACATATAGCTCATTTATAAAATCGTGACGACGGATTTTACTGCGGACTTTGAGCCCACAGAAGCATAAAACGCTTATACAAAAAGGCATCACTTTAACGTTCAGCTCATCACTTACAGCGTCTAAATATTGTCATGCGTAAGCAAAAGAACCATTCGATAAGAGACGAGATTCAAGAATATGCACTTCTAGAAGTGGCGTGCGTGTCGCGCGCGGTCGCGCCATTGTCACGATTATTCAAATGCACTATAACTAGGCGCTGCTACAGCCTAATTCGCAAACGAGCAGTATTACTTTTTCTTAATAAGACAATAAGGAGGAAGTCCAGAATTTTGTAACACAGTTTCAGCTCCTTTTGACCTTATATCTGAAAATCTGCTTTTCGGCGCTTTGGTTGTATGTTTTATTGCATTATAACAACAGTGCCACATGTTTGTGCTAAGCCCCAATAGTAATGTTTTAGAATAGAACTTATTTGCTTATTGCTGTTGCTGTGTGCCATATGCACATAGCAAACACATCAGAACAAAACAGCAGGGTGAGAGGGCCATTGAGATAAAATAGATGTTTTCTTGATCAAGCCGTTGCGGTGTTAAGGAAATGTGCTGGAAACAAGAAAAAGGTACAAAAGTTTGGCTGACTTCGATTCTGGCTCACTGAACTCTAAAGGCAATAACAAGGGTGTAGAATTGCCCGAAAAGGCGCTTGGCAATGTTGCGTACATTGTTTTGTAGCAGACGAAAATGCAAAATTCGAAGAGCTTCGCTTCCGAACTCTTCCCCTTTTTGTCTTCCTCTTTAGCACTTTAGAAATAAAACTTCACACTCGTGTGCATGAGAGGGGACAAAAACTGTCTATTGGCATCATCTTCACCTTTAGAGACTTGTGCTGTAGCAATTATAAGGGAATTTCGGGGCTTCAGCATTTTTTTCCTTAGCTCTTGAACGACCTTTTCATCCTGTTTCTGTAGTATTTTGATTACGTTTTGGAGATTTAAGGTCTCAACAACGCAAGTAGAAATTTGCCAGAATAATCCATAAAAAGTTTGAAAATTTAAGATTGAATTTTCGATGGGTGACTTGCACGTACCAAAAAGATACAACTCTGAAAGTGACAGCTCCAGTTCGAAAGTGGAAAAGTCACTCAAGAAAGTGGCGAAGATTTTTTCTCTTTGTGACATAGCTATGTTCCGGCTAAGTAGTTCTCTCATCTTCCATTTTTTTAATCTTTATCTATTATTCTCGAGGTGCACCAAAAAAATATAAATAGGAGTGGAAACACATACCAAGCAAGCCACACTATATAAGAGAAAGTAATAAATAAGAATGTTATTACCAAAAACCTCAGATCCATCCGACGGTATAAGACGGAACAAATCTATACTGCATATAGACAACATACGTATTTATTAATTATTGAACTCATTGATGGTTATTTTACAACTTTTATTTATTTATTTTATTTCTATTTCATTTCTTGTCAGCAATGACATATGCTGAATTAACATGCAATTTAGGTTCTAACGAACAAATATCAATCCATGAGACAGTCCCCCAGCTAATCTTTTTCGCGCAAAAAAACTCACAACGTGAACTTTCACTTCTTCACCGATCATCGTGCCAAATGACACGCTCATCGCTCATAAGAAAAGGCATTCTCAAATTCATCAAATGTGGGAAGCAAATGCGATTTACAATGGCTTGAGTGAAGGTCATCGAGACTGTCGAAGGCTGTCTGTGCGTGTAGATATTCAGGCGTATCATTGGAATTGAACCAGTTTAGCTTCAACGAACAATAGACATAACGAAAGTATTGGGGAATGCTTTTGTGTGAGAAGCCTTCTCGAAAAAGAAAAACTTGCGCTTGATTTATAGCGGAAAAAGTGAAGTGTAGTGAAGTGAAACGAACTGAAGGAATCCAGCTTATGAGGTGGCAATAATTCAACTTTTTTTACTGGGGGGGGGGGGGAGGGGAAGGGAATAGGAAGTGGGCAGATGAAGGACGAAATATAAGACTTACTTCGGCACATTCACTTCCGATGATAATGTCTTGATGTCCACCATTTCGGCCAATGTATTCGGTAAAACAGCTGTCGCCCTTCTCAAGTACATATCGGATAGCGTCACGAGACTAAAAATACAAGAATTATTTTCCCAAAAAAGAGTGTAGCCACATTCCTATCACATTTTTCCCCAATTTATCACATGTCGGAATCAGTTAAACTCTCGCTATATGTCCTTGTCATGAATCTCAATAAAAACTCTGTTATGAAATTTTTTGAACACGAAGCTATAACCATCTAGAATAATTATCAGAGAAAATTGTTCTAGTGCAAATTGCTGCTGCAAGTAAAAAGTGGTTTCTAGTTCGGGCAACCAGCTGGGTGGCGGTCATACTGGTTGTCAAAGGGAAGAATTTTTTCGAGATAAAAGCGAGCATTACCGTAACTGCTGTAAAGCAACATTCGGTCTCAACAATCACTAAGTTGATTTTTACACTTTACAGCTTCAAAGAAACTTTTTGGCAAAATGCTTCGCCAAAAATAAAAAAAATTGATAGATGGGTTGGATGGTTGACACTGTCAAGGACAAACTTTAATGAATGATTGGATAGCCATCACCAAATTGATTTTTTCTCAGAATGTGCATCCTGTAAAACAATTACAGAGAAATGGTGGTTTTGAACAATTTCGAATTTTTCTCTATGATTTCATTCTGTACTTTTCCGCTATGTGGACCCATTTTTTCAATTCCCATGAAATACTCGAACAAATTTTTCATAAATCCTAAGAGCACTGTTTCCGTGCCACTTGTCAAGATAAAAATGAGCACGTTTAGGCTTTAGGCCTTCACATAATTTTTAGGGGAGAGGAATGCCTTTTACGCCTTCACATTTTTTGGAACCATTCACGTAAAGTATGAGAGCATTTAAAATGACTCAAAAGCTGTTCAGCTTATTTTATAAGACAATGCAAAACGTCCGTAAAAATATCTAGGCCGTTTTCAGCAGTGATTCAAAGATATCCTTTTCCTTAGATGCTTTCGCCATGCGAGTTTAACCAGGAAGGTATAAATGATGGCTCGAACTACGGCTGGCGCTTGTTTCGGCGAATGACTGAACCTTCTTCTCTGTTTTTTGCATATCTACATGTTCAACAACAAAGTTATTCTTACATTGTTAATGTTCATCTCTGGAACTGTAGAGAAATAGGGTCATTATTAATTGGATACAAATTGATCTTAATTTTGTGTAGGCTGCTGCGTGACGAAGGCGCATTAACTTTGGGCGTATTAGCCTCAGAGCGCATAAGGCCCAGAATTTACAACGGTGAAGATACGCACGCGCTGCGATCGCTCTCGCTTAATCAATGCTTCTCGGCGCCTTTATCCTGCGGTAGGCTGAACAAACTTTTCGTAAAAGCTTTGAACATGTAGAGACATGTGTATTTTTTTTTCGCTACGTGGCAATTTTACAGTCCTTTTAAAGTTACGACCAAATTTCGGTTAAGGAAGAAGCAATATTTTTTCACATAGGCCCTAATAAAGGGAAAGTACCCATTTTTCTACAAATTGGGCCATGACTGCTGTGAAAGTCAAGACATTTCAAGAAAAAAAGAGAAATGTAATCGACAAATTAATGTTTTCGCAGAAAAGCCAGATAGAACGGATTGTACTCCTATTTGCGAAGACATCATTATCCATTTGCTTTTTTGGGCTCAAAAAACAATATTTTGTTCAAAATAAAAATAAAAACGCATCTCGAGATGGCAGTATGAATATAAGTCAGTATAAGTCAGTATGAATCTCGATAATTCCAAAATAAAGAGAACCTTTTTCTTCGGACTATAAAAAAGACCTCATTCTCAAACAAACTTTCAATGACAAGTTTTTTAGGAAAATACAACAACGTTTCAAAGTTTACGGTTTTCTCCCTCTTAGTGAGTAATATACTAGTATACTAGTAATAGTAATATTACTAGTAATATAGTTATATTACTAGTAATATACTAGTAATATACTCAAATTATACGACCGCTAACTAGCGTAACCCGGACACTTTCGATTTTTCTCCGGAAAATTTCTATCAGAATAGTTGGCAGTAGAAAAATTATGCAAAGGATGGTATTGCAATCGCCATTGCTCTTGTGCTTCCAACGAAACGAAGATAAATTATTTTTTTGAAATTGTTACTCCCCGAGACAAATTTTTTTCGAGTATTTCAGATTAATTGTTTTCAAGAATATTTGGTATATTTACATCATCCAGCAAACTGTTGCCCTAGTTCTACTTCCTCACCCATTCGAAGGGCAAGATACAAAAAGATCCAACTAGATGTATTGATGAACAACGATGACACTTGCCGAACTAGTTTATGGCTATGCCGTACAGTAGCGATCATGACCGAGCGAGCGATGCTTTGATAAGCGATTTGTCCTTCAAAAACCGAATAAACCCTGACATATTACCCTGTTGAAGTAATTTCGCGCAAAGAGCTCAATGAACTGGGCGGAGGCGAAAAAAACTGACCGCCATATTCTCTCGAAAACGCAGGCAAGTTGACTCTTCCCACATCCGTATCCCTCGTCGAATGAGACTTTGGAAGTTGTCTGAAACATTATTCGTTATTCAGCTATTTTGTCTCATAAAACGTTCAAAGCTCAAGTCCCTGGATATATATCCAATCTTCAGACATAAATCCAGTGTGAGGATCAGTTTTATGGTCTAGAAACGATTGCAAAACGAGTTGGATGTTTGCCAAGCGCTCTTCACGATTATGGAGCGAGCGAAAATCCTTGTATAAGACCAGCTTGTACACATGGATTAGGTTCTTTAGGAGTTGTTTTTCATAGAAGTAGTACGGGCATGGCAAGATTTACAAGGTCATAAGCGAAGGGTAGAAAGTTATTCAGACAGACCATATAAAATTCAGAGCATCCATTATACCGTGTAAACCTAAAGCGAGAAGAATTGCAGAGCCAAAGTGATTCAGAAGGCTAGAAAAGACTTGAATAGAATCTAAAAGGAATTGGTAGAATTTCTGAAGGTTTAGATTCAACGGATTATTAGGAGCTCAATCTTACCAAAACCTGTACGAAAATACTATTAAAGTAATTTCACTAAAATCTTAGGTAATAGGGTCAAATTTTTGCAACGACCGAGTGGCTCTTCTATATTTTTTAGACAAAGTCGCTTAGCACTTTACAAAAAGATTACACAAAACATTTTCTATAATAACTGCTATATCAAGGTTAAGCTATGTCAATGCGTTATCCCAGGCTGTTTTTGAAGTAAAATATGGAAATCACAACCCATACTCGAATAGCGAACGAAAAAATTAGAGTGCATATTACTAGTCTAGCTTTTTGTATGGAGATACACAATAATTTGGTTAAAGGTAAATTTTCGTCGCTTCAGAGAGTTGTTCCCAGAATATATTGAATTTCTGTAACATCCATTTGATTTCGACCAAAATATGCGGACAACTCCATGATATACAACTCAAAAACTTGTTTTCATAGAGCTCTATAACTATGCCCTCTTGGAAAAACTGCTGAACTTTGAGCGATCATTTTTATAAAACTAGTTGGCGGGAAAGGAACTCGTTGAGTTCAAATGATCAAACAGCTTCATTTGCCTGAAAAAAGATGGTTAGCGCTGGATTTCAAACCCAAAAGTTTCTTTTTTGGAAAAGAACGTATTCGTCACTCGGAAATCTGGAAGTAGACTTCTTCAACCTCAGCAGATTATTATGCGCCCAAAAATAATGTAGTTTCGAGTGAGCAAAACATAAGTGTAAGTGAAAGAATAATTGCTTACGCCTTCACATCAAAGTCTTATTCCCAAGAGGTTGAAAATGAATGAAAGAAGGGATTTTTTGTATATTCAATTGAATTACTCGATTCGGAAACACTGATGTCTTATTTGGATTCGAGACCAGCATCAAAATGCATAATCTGATGCGATGTCCTCTGAACTTTTATGCAGATGACTTGCTTGACAGTAAAAGTAATCGAATAATATAGAGTTTCAAATCAAGTGTGAGATTATTTTCAAAATTGTTAAAATTTGAGAAGCTTTACACTTATTTTTTTAAGAATGACTAGCTATTCATTAGGCTCCCGCCAGAGTGCCGAAGTTATGCCAGCGCTACGCCAGCATTTCGATCGATACACGTGTATTTCGTTGGGGACGTCAGCTAGCCCCGCCCAACGAAACGCACGTGTATCGATCGAAATGCTGGCGTAGCGCTGGCATAACTTCGGCACTCTGGCGGGAGCCTTAGAAAAAAAAGTTGTTCCCCTCTGACGTCGTCGTAAGCTTTTCTGATCGTCTTATACTACAAGTAAACCATACTTGGTAACAACAGTAATTAATTTTTGAAGTAGAAATTCATACAAAATAAAATTAGCCTCAGCAAGTATTAGGTTGGCACATAAGTTTTGCAGCTTTTCCCGTAACTTTTTTCCTATTTTATGTAGCAATCCCATTTTGTGGCATCATGTAGACCGTAATGTAAGCTGCAAGTCTGCGCAAACCGTTTGATTTTTGATAACGTGGTACAAAAAACCTAAGCATTTTTTGAAAACTGCTGAAAATCGAGGTTTCACGATTTTTTGGCAAACATGAAGCCCTACAAAACCTGATTCAAACATATGATAAAGCAATTATAGGCAGCATGTAGCTGGAAGTTGGCACATTGGAATCAGTGAAAAAGAAATGAGATTTAAACGCAAATTAAGGTGGGGCGCCTTTGAGAAGTTGAACAAGTCAAATGCGTCAAGTTTTGAAGGCAATTTGGCAATAACTAAGCTGCGAAAAGTCAGAATTCGCTGTAACTTTGCACTATAGGGTAATCCTATGCGGTAAACACGAATATCGTATTCATTTGCCGCTAAAACGAAATTCATTTTTTGATCTCACGAGCGAGGCCTTTTCATGCGAAACGGATCTCATTTTTGTGATCAGCATGTAAAATAAGCCCTACAGGTCAAGATTCAGCAAAATCTAATGCATTCTAAAATTTTTCCCATAGTACCGTAAACCTACTGTAACCCTCACGTAAGATTTCAAAATTCTGCAAAAATGTGTGCATTAGAAGCTTACATCATATTCCTTATACTGCCAAAAAATGAATGCGCTACGTTCAAATAGACAAAAGTTGTATAAAAAGTTGCATTACTTGTGTGCCAACCTAATATAAGTTTAAAATTGTTTTGCCACATCAATTTAGATTCACTAGGAAGACTGGAATAAGCTACTTTTGCTTAAATCAAGTTTGCTTGCTCATTTCGACAACTTTTTTCACCTCTTTTCGAGAATTTCGAATATTTGCTCACATTTTTTAGAATTCATACTCATCGACAATCTCTTCATCTTTCTTCCCTTTCCACATGCTCCAAAAAAAAAGCAACAAGTTCAATTTACTATTGTCAGACTCAAATGTCATAACATGAAGTAGTGCTGTGGGATTATTGTAGTTTTGATCTGTTCTTCACCGAACAAAAATCGAATACTTGATAATTCGAGAAAATAACGTCTGGCACAGTCACGTTCGCTAAAGTAGCCATATTTAAGTTTGGTAAACATAAACGTCACTTTTTCGAGATTAGAAAAGCGAACTCTAGGGTGTGAGTGTTGGGGGAAAAGGCTGTCTAAGATGGAAAAAGTAAAGAAGTGCATTTCATTCGTTAGTTGAAAAGTTTCATTGTGGACCACTAAGATCTCACAGTTGTAGAAGTTCCGAGCGATTTTTCATTTCACTTATATTCAAGTTTCCAAAACATTTTTTGAACTTGCTAAGGAGATTTTGTACTCAGCTAGCTAGCCAAGTGATGATATGTGCGAATAATTTTCAAAAAGATTCTAGTTTACCCACATCCTTCGCACCATGAAATGCTGTCGAAAAGGTGCTAATTCAAAAACGCGATGTGTGATAAACGGCTTTTTCAGCACTAACACCCTTAGAAGCATCAATTTCACTTCGAAAGTCTCAGAAACAGGATTTTCAAGCACATTCAAAGGAACAGAAAACATGCACTCAAGTGTTTTCTATCGTTGGAAATCTGCGGCTGTAAAAATAGAACTTGTCGGGGGTAACGTTAATCATGTATTTTCAGCTTTGAGATATTGCTTGAGTGGATATTTAGCCTTTTTGGGTATTTCAAACATTATGATGATAATATGGCGCAATTATGATGATAATATGGTGCACTTGCATTAAAAAATGACTTGAAGCGTAAATCCCACATCAAATAAAAATTACTTTTGTTCGAGAATTAATCAAACAGATTGTTTTCTTGATACATGCTGATGCTTGTGCGGAGAAAATTCTTTGAAAAAACCGCCAATGAAATTTCTCTTCTTGCTAACTTCCATGGGCATTGTTCACGCGCAAATGATGCTGACAGCGCAACTGCACAACCAAAGTCATTTGCGCGTGAAAAGTGACAGTGGAGCAGATTTCGTGGCGCAATGAAGCACTTCGCATGTCCGACAAATGCGTCTAGGGCAACTATAATTTGGTTCAGATGACGACTTTTTTCAAAAATTTTATTGTGAAATATGACGAAAATACATGAAAAAAAAACAAAAAGTTTTGTAGAGCTGCTTTCAACATGGCAATAACCTCAGATAATATTGTGCGCTCCAAGGCCATTTTCTGAGCTCAACTGAAATTTACAGTGCAAATACACTGACATTTTATTTTTGCGCGTAAAAAATAGCAATGAAGCGCATTCCTCGCAGTTATACTGGATGGTGAGCACTTGTATACCTTGGAAGTGTGCGCCTCAAACCCATTTTCCTACGCGCAAGCGAGATTGAGTGTGTAAGTGCACCATTTTCTCGCCAATTTATCAAACCATAAACACATAGATTTGACACATCGCGATTGTCTATCAAAACGTACATTCATTGATCATCGCCTAGCTCAGCTATATGTGCTTTTTTCTAAGCATTGACAGTGATCCGCGATTGCATCTATCGTCTAATAGTCATACTATGCTATTGTCTTCGACCGAAAGACGAGGCAAGCTACCAAGACTAGTTCGTAACAGCGAAGAGAACAGATAGCATTATCATTAGCATTGCCAGCAAAGCCATTGTGACAGTTTGATACTGGAGTTGAAAGCAGAAACGGAAACGAGATCGCCCCCATTGTCTTCATGGTGCTAGAAAACGGTCATGTCATGCAGGGTTACAGGATTGTCTTGTAATCGCAGATAAAAGAAAGTATAGAATCTGCTGAATGCGGAAACTGAGCAACGGCATAAGATTAAGAGATGCAAACTTCGAAAATTTTTTTCTACACTTGGGAGGCTTAGCTTAACATCTCCAAATTAAGGAAAGGGCGAGGGTTGCAAAGACGTTTGATTGATTTAAGAACGTGGTTCTTTCGGTGTACTCTGTGTTAAACAGGTCATACGCATCGCTTTGAAAAACTAACGACACAATTTCCCTTGATAGATAATACTCTTTGATAAAAGAGTGTAAAGAATCAGAATGTGGCAAAGTGCCTGAATTTGATTTTGAATAGACACATATTCAAAATTTTTACAACGCCCAATTTTAGCCTTAGCTCCAAATTTAGGCTTGCACTTTAATTAGT